GTCAATCTCTGTTTAAATCAGTTCAGCGGTTAAGTTGTCCATCGGCAGGCGCCAGCGGAAGCGGCACCACATCTGAAGCTACCGTTCGTCGAAAGTCATCTTGATGGGGACGATCTTGTCGTCCGTACCGCCCTGGGCTCGGTTACGAACATTTGCCTCATACTTGCGGCGTTCTCGACGCCACTTCACGAGTGAGGTATGCGAGGTACTCGGTAATCGCGGCGGTAGCACCAGGATGCTATCGGCAAGGCGTCGCAGCCGTTGCCGTCTTCAGGTACGTTGGTCAAAGTTGATAGCAAATCTTGTTCATTGTCGCGTAGCAGCGGAAACACCACTAAAGGATTATTTGTGATGTATCAGGAGCTGAACACACAATTGGGGGGGGGGGGGGCACCGTAACGGCTATACCAGAAGATTAGCTGCTGTTGCTACTGCACTTCCTGCCGAGTCGTAGACCACTAGCTCGCAAAAATGTAAGGCGTGATCTTTCAGCACTAACACATACTTCTCTGGTCCACCCTAAATGGCCCTATCGTTGGGGTGGGCGTAGCAGACCCAATTTTGAGAGCTAGCTGGATCTGAATACACTGATTGAGAGAGCAAGACGCGATGCACAAGGCTATCATATTGGCTACGTAGCTTGCACTCACCAAGAAGATAAAACAGCGCTTGAACGTACAAGCTCGGATGAGAAATGAGGTTTATTGTCGTAGTTTAATCAATTTTTCCCTCGGTGGTTTTCAGCAGATTAGTGACATACACACGCAGTAGGAAGTGCTACAGAAAAGCCTAAGACCTCAAAATTGAACGAAACGAAACGAGGTTTTACTTCCTGTTACTTGGCGTTTTGTAAAGGTGGAGACAGAAAAATCAGCCAATCGGTGTACGATGAGGAATTAGGTGAAAAAAATGCGGTACAGAATGCAAAAAATTAGGTGGTCGATTGTCATTGGCTCAACTGACGAAAACCGGCGTCAACGCTCCACGACTTCGTCGTCTATGAGGTGTAGGGGTGGCGGTGGGCGCTGCTGATGACCTTGCAGCAGTTTGGCAAAGATGTAGCGCAACCGCCACACTTTGTTTATAGCGTAGCAATGCAGACCGAAGCCGAGAGCAGCAGCCGCAACTGCCCCGCACGGAAGGCGGTCGCTGACTGACCATTGCGCAAGTTACAGCGCGACGGTCACCTTCTGCTGCGGTGAGATGTCCCGATTCTGCGGACTACGCGGGATGTGGAGACGGGGGAGGACTGGTCGAGAATAAAGCGGCAGGCGTAAAAAAACGAAATGAGCTGACGCAGACGTGCCAACGCGCTTCGATCCACTGGTGGCGATGAAAGTGCGCCAAAAGTTATGCGTCTCAAACCTGTGTTTTAGGCGCCAAACAGAATCCCAATACCTAGATATTTTACCTCTCTGTCACTTTTTTGTGTGGAAGACCGAAAAACCTCATGGGCCATTTTAGGTTGGACCAGAGAAGTACTTGCTAGCACAAAACGGATCACCCATAAACAAACTCCAATGTAGGAGTGGCTACGTGAAATGTTGAAGAACACAGTATGCTTTCGACGAGATTGTTTATATCATGAGCAAAACACTCCAGAAACACCACGTTGGGCCAGCGCAGAGCGAGAATCTGACGAGCACAACTGCACTGGCCAGCGTCACTGTGACCACTGCACCGATCTTTCAACCCTTGTTCTCTGCATCAACCATTATCGTTTCCAACTGCTTAGCCAGCGTAAGCCCATCGTGACTGGAGTCAGTTGGAAAGAGTACAATGGTAGTAATTGTCCTAAACAGAGCAAGCTAAAGACGCTTTTTTGAGATGTTTTGCCAGACGTCATTAAGAACAGTAACTCGTCCACCAGTACCGCTCTGTTTGTCTTGTACATCCTCGTCTTCCTCCGCGGTGATCTCAACTGGTTAATTGGTTAGCATTGGGTCGCCCATCGTCTTTTTGGCTGGAAGGTGATCTACGGCCTCACGACTAATACTCTCGATAAAGCGTAAGGTCGATGGTCGTTCGACAAAAGAGTCTGGCAGACGATTATCAACCTGAACTCCAGCAACCGTCTCAGCATTGTGTCGATGTCGACTGTACGATAAATAGTAGCTGGGCTACCAAGGTCCGCTGAATGTGGTGCTCGAGCGCTTTGCCGTAGTTGTAGAGCCGTCCCCAAAGCAGCACGAGCCATTCGCGCCTCTGGCATGTGTGAGCAATCTTCAAGGTGCCTGGAGAGAGCAACCTTACTTCAACAGACCTTTTAAGCGGCAAAAGGGGTAGTGTTCTTGATTTTCTGCTTCTTTTTGAGCTTCTAGGCAATGAAGACAATGATGAAAAACTGTCCATGGTTGTTGCTCGGCTGATCCAGTTTCTGGAACTGCTTTCGAACCGGATCGGGGTATCCCCCCATCGTAGTTTACTTGCTGTAAACGCTCGAAATGGTCGTCAACAGGTTACCAGTGCAGGAGGAATCGCATTGTGGTTGAAGTTGTGCTGAGACAGACCTCTAATAGGCTTTGGACAGTAGCTCGCAGGTATCTGAATTGACAATTTTTGCGATAAAAATATTCTTTTCCCTCGTAAAAAATAAAAATGTTTTTAAATACTTTTATTTTTATATCAGACTTAGTCGAAAAATAGTTTTTGACCACCCTGACGTCTGCGAATGACCTTGTTGGTAGGACGTAGTGCGCTGAGCGAAGCGAACAGACCTTCTCCATGGAGTCGGCTAGGATGGACATCTAGCTGTATACCGTGACATAGTGTTGACAATAACTTCTTCCCTAACGTGAAAAAAGCCTTCTACGACACGCGACTTATTGATTTCTTACTGGAGAGGGCCTTTACTCGAACCACTGTGCCTCCTGAGCTGGCAACAAGGTTTTAAGTGAGGTGATAATGGTTAGGGCTATAGATACACTATTGTTAGTAAAGTACCTCCTTAATGCCTATTCCTATCTTTCAGAAATAGGCATGTGTTGACAAATACCCTAATTATATTTGCCTACATGCATGATCCTGCCCGAGTGGCAGACGCTATCGTGTAACGACGTGTTCTATGTTTGTCGTTTGATCTCAATAGTTATCACACCGTTCGTCTCAATAGTAATTGAGTAAGACCGGGCAAGGTGATGGGAACTTCGAGCTTAGCGATAGCTCTGAACTATCCGACTGGAGAGGTGGCAGTTCAACTGGATGATCTTGGCTGTGGTTTTTGCTAGTGTGTAATGAGTACCTATCAAACCTGCTCACATAACTAATAAGTTTTTTTTTCTTGTTTTTTGCGATGCATGAATAAAAGTTATGCATCAGGGCGAGTAGCCGCTTGTGCGAACAAGATCAACGACTACCAGCGCAGTTTTCAGTTCTATGAAGACAACAAGAAGCGCACATTGTTGGCAACTCTCGATGAGCACGCTGTGAGTACTGTCGAATACCCACGACGTTGCTATACTTTCTAAAGGTTCTTCTTTCGTTGCCAAAGGTGGGATCTGCTGGAAAACTCGGTGGAAAGAAAATGATTCTAACCAAAGAGTGCGGTATTATCTTGGACGGCAAGGATGTTATCCTCAAGGTGCCACCACTTTGAATCATGCAATTTATATCACTCTCACGCAAGACCAACGCCAACTATATGCTATTTGAATCAGAGCTGGCGCTGGGATCCCAAGGCACAGAGAGCTGGATCACCGCCGTCAGAATCTGTAGTTATCAACTTGAATGCCAGCCTGGTGTTCACATTTCGAGACCGCAGCTCGATCTCTATAAAGTTCGCTCCATGTCCCGGAATTCTAGTGGATTTCGCTTGTGGTGAATGTCGACGCCGGACGGACTCGTACTTGGACCACGCCCGTCGCGTGACAGAAGGACCCCATCGTGGAAAACTACTGATTGATCAAGAAAAGCCAACTTTGCAGCAGCGGCAAAAACGAATAGAACTCGAGTCGCTCGAGAAAAGAAGCAAGTCAAAGCCAAGCAGCACAGATGTTGCGCATGCTGAAATCAAGCAAATTGTTTCAACACTGGAAACCAAGTTTGACGGCTATGAAGGATGTCGCGTCACACCAGCACCAGATGGGAACTGGAGGGAGATGGCATATCTACAGAGTCTCCGCGAAATTCCGATCTTGCCTGCTACCGGTTACGAGGTTGGCCAAACACCAACACTGTTCGGATCAGTAGTGCAAACTAACGACGCCTCTGAATCACTAAAGCGTCTCAAGAACGAGTCCAGTGGGAAATGGCGCGGATCAGTGGAGATTCACAAGATGATCGCTCAGGAAAACCCAGGACTTCCGCGAACGGGATATTTAACAAATGCAAGTGGGCGCTACTCTCAAGAGTTGCAAGTTGCTGGAGGTGGCACAAAGTCAGCAGGCGAGCGCTTGATCTCAATTCACGGTTCGAAACTCGATTTATATCTTCGCGAACAGTGCTCCAATGATGAATTGGTAGTGGTGGCTTGCCTACGTTCTGATGATCGTCAGTCGCGTGCCGCGGAAGCAAAACTTGAGCAGATCCAGATGATTCTTTCAAAGCGAAAGCAGAATCCTGCGACGGCAGCAGAGTACGTGTTTGGATCGAAAAGAGTCTTTACCTGGACTAACACTGACATTTACCAGACACAAGTGTCGCCTAGTTAAATGCGATCTCGTTGAATCTCCAGCACTGGTTGATCGCTATCGAATTCACGCTGTGCCTACGTTCCTCATGTACGAAAACTTTGTTTGATCTTACATTTCAATTGAAAACTTACTAGTGTTGCGAACAGGTTTTACGACTCACGGCTTGTAAACGTTTCAAGTCTCGGTGGGCTAGCAGTTCGTGTGACTCCAACCACAAAAAATGCAAGCTTGTCGGACCAAATGGACCACTTGCCGCGTGTTTTGCTAGTGGAGAAAAGTGCAAAGCAGCAACTAGCGGTAGAAAGTGTTTTGCGTCGTGAGGGTTTCCAGTGGGACCTTGCAAGCAGCGGAGAGCAGGCTGTGTCCAACTTTACTCGCCAGTCAACCTCAGGTGCTTTAGGCAACAGCGGTCCTACTTACGAGCTTGTCATGCTCAGTGACTCGGTAAGAATGCAACCATGGACAACTCGTTCATTTCCCAATTCTACGCTAACTTGTTGCTGCTTTTCAACAGCTCAGCGACAGCGAAGTACGTGCTATTGACCGATTTATCGGTCCCAAAGAGCGAATGAAGAGGAAAGCTGGACGAAAGGCGCTTGTATGCGTGGTGGTATCTACTGCTGGTTGCGGCGTCCCATTCTCGAAGACATTGTGCCAAGCTTGTCGTCGTGCACAAGGTCGTCGGGTCAGTCAAGAGCTTGCAGCTTCAGTGGAACGTAGCACCCGGGAGCCGCCTTTGATGGCCTGTCCTCACTGCAGCCTGGTGACGGAGTCAAGTACAAAGACAACTCTGCTGCCCCCAGGTCTGGCTGAGATGACCCAGGCTATTGTGTATAAGCACGTGAAGGCTGCTACGCTGCATCGTCTTGCTGAAATGTGGGTTGCTGATGAGGGTAGAGGTGGCAGCAGATCTGCGCCCGCGTCGGCTGGTGGACCACGACACTGTGGGGAGACTCACTTGGGCCTTACCCCGTTCTCGTTCTTTATTGAAGTGGACAAGCAGATCGCGGCCGCCAAGCGTGGCGCTTTCTTACCCGAGCATCACATTCCAGAGATGGCATTAAGTGCCAAGGACACTGTGCTCTCACTACAATTTGGCCGCCAAGCGCCTGAAGGACTAGCCATGCTTCCGATGGACCAGGTCCGATCTGCGTCCGCATAAACCGACAATACATTTACTTCCTAGCCTCGACACCTTCGACTTCAACATGAACAGGTCGAGCATCGAAATGCCCTTTAACTACTCTCTCTTTGTGTCGCTAAGCCTTGGACGCACGCCATTGATAGGGACGATAACCTCACCGTAGGCAATTTCTATTGCTGTCGTATCAAGGAGCGGCTCGCTTGCAGCGAAGGATTCCTCTGCTTGATACTACACGACCACGCGAAAGCGGGACGGCTCGTTTCTCCACGGCGCAATGGCACAACATCTCGTCTTGCAAGCAGGCTTGGTACATGTATCGGCGCGCAGTTCTTCAAGCCTGCAGCGCTGCAACTTGCAGTGCAAGCGAAATCGCGATGGGTGCTTACCTCTCAGCCACCGACCTCAGTATCCTCTCGCCGGCCTCATCGTCCGCCCCCTTCCTCCCATCGGGCTCCATTATCTGAAGATATCGGAGCGATGTGGAGACCGCCGCTCCACGCCCATACATTTGGATCGTAGAACGCATTTCCTCACGTCGAAGCGAATGGTACCGCAGCTCGCGGGCAGGCTATTGTGGTTTCGTCACAGCCGTCACTTGGCTGCAAAACCACTTGCTTTTCGGAGTGGCAGATGCCTATTGCCCCCTTCTGCTTTACCGAGACGCAGTAACACGGACAACCAGCGCCTCATCGACGTCGGATTTCCCTCCACATGTCCGTAGAAAATCCCAAACGCTCCATGCATTTGTTGCATGTTTCTCGCCGCGTGTTGCGTTTATCACAGCTACACAAAGAAGCTGAAATGGACACACAGTTCTCAAATTCTCCTGCCTTCACTTTGGCTTTGAGAGCTTGTTCTCTCGGAATTCGTGTCCAGCATAACCTCATAGGCATAACAATTAGCTATTAACATGTAAGTTGTGAACTCCTTGATGTATAAATCGATGAGCAACAGCATGCTACCCACCTCAAGACTCGACGCGCTTGAAATGGCTCAAATTGCCATCTGGACTGCCCCTGTAAACGGTTCCATTTTCATTGAGCGTGTGTACACGGTCCAGGGTTACAGAGTTCAGACAATGTGCGACCAAACAACAGTCGGCCAGCCACCTGCCATTGTGCATTGGTCAACACGTCGAGCAGGTCTCCGTTGCAGGCGAGGCCATTCCTCCAAAAATGGACAACTCGCGCGACCACAATGTGCGGCCGTCGATGCTGGAGCGGGTGTCGTCCAACAATCATTCGCGTTTCCCGTTGGCCACCGATTTCTTCCCCACGGTGTCATGCTCGCCCGAACAGCAATCGTTCCTCAAGGCACAGGCCGAGCAATTGTCCTCGGAAGCCATCCAGAAGGCCAAGTGGGCCATGAGCTACGAGGACGGCACCAACGGCTGGAAGCTCTCCAATTCGCAGCGCCACTTCCGAGACACGGGCATCCGTACGTACTGCCGACGACGCGACGCCCGTGACCGCAGCGGCCACCGACAACTCGAGTTCCGGTGCATGGGTAAGGTGCAAATGTCGATCGAACACTGCCTTAACGCTCTTTATTCGGACAACACTACGGACTTCCGCAGTAACTCAACGTTCCTCATTGAGAACGCGCTGGACGCCGTCGTACTCAACGCGCTGGAGACCAAGACGGATAACAAGCCGCATCATTATCTCGGTCTCAACTGGCTGGCAAGTCGGTCACCTGGACTATTTGCTAAGAGCCGAGATCTCTGCTACCTCAGGAGTATGGGCACAACAGTGGACAGCAATAAGGCCAAGATCGGCTACTTGGTTATCCAATCCGTCGATCTCAAGGAGTGCGCGTCATTGGAAAACTCGCTGGGCCTCTTGCGTGGCAAAATGTCGGCCGTGCTGTTATTTAAGGAGAACGCAGACTCTCACTCCACCAACGTGCTGTGGCAGGGATCAATGGGGCTGAGTGGCCACTCGTCCAGTAAACTCGTAAATTTCATTCACGAGACTTTCACGTCTGTGGTTTCCAATCTGAACAAGGTCGAGGAGGCCAAGTACATGGCCCAGCAAGTGGAAGGCCACAAGTTCCAACGCATGATTGCCAGGTGCGTGAATATTTTACTGGTACTTTACTGGCATTGTAAAATACTAACATCGCGCGTTTCTTTTTTTTTTTTTGCCAATAGTGAGCGCAAGTATTGCAACGTTTGCAACAAGAAATTCTCTCTTGTTCGACCACGCTCTCAATGCAGCGCATGCGGCGAGAACATGTGCAAGGATTGCGAAGTATCAAGTCGAGCTAAAGCTTTCAACAGCGAAAGCTTCGACGTGCCGACATCGGCGTCCAGTCGTCCAGAATGCGTGCTGTTCTGCAGAACGTGTGTGACTTCAGCACGTCGCGATATGAACAACCAGACAGAAGCAGGAAATGCGCGTACAAACCCGTCGTTCCTTTTGTTCGACAGCAACCCGCATCCGGTTGCGCTGGACGAAGGTCATCGTCCTTCAAACGCTGGCAAAACGTCCAATCAGAGCAGCAGCACAAGCACCAGCTCGTTACCAAAGCTCGCACATAACTTAAGCGAAGGTCCCGCAAATAGCAAGAGTAAACGACCGGACCGTACTCCGCTGTATGTAGGAACAACTATCCACATGTCCAGTGCCGGTGAGGTGCCTATCAGTCCGCTGTCTATCCGTACGCAGCGCGAGAAGCGGCGTTCTCGACTGGAAACGGATCCGATGGAGTCCTATGATGGCTTCGACAATCGCGAGTATGGTGTTCCGTTGGAGACAGACGAGTACGACCCACAGGAACCCAGTCGAGAGAGCTGCAGCAGCTTCAGTAGCTACAGTAGCTACAAATACGCGTCGGATCGTCGCGGGTCACAAGAAGCTCGTGACAACGACATGGCCACCAGGTTACGGGAGATCTCACAGCGAGCGCAGGAGGCTCTGGAGGTTACCAAACGTAACTCGTGTATGATGAGCGACACCAGCAGCGCCCCGCGTTCGTCGGATCTGTCGGCGTTTAAAGATCTGGACAAATCTATCGCCGAGCAGGCGGATCTACTCAACGTCATTGGCTTCGTGAGTACCGGTCGCGTGTATATGGAAAACAATGGGCCCGAACAGGGCGGCGTGCGTGTGAGTGAGTCGTCCAGTGTCATGAGTGAGGACGAGAGGTTCGAAGTGATCACCTAGCAACAGCAAACAATACTTTTACCATAACGAAATGCAGTCACAGTTGAGGTATTGCAGGCATCCAAACAGGAATACTTCTTTAAAAGGTAAACACAAGTTTGAGATGCTAAAACCATGGTTTTTACTCGGACCTTTCGACCAAGAGAAAAATCTCCTAGCGCCCATCTGGAGTTAACTTGAAGTTTGTATGGCGGAATAACCGATTGGCGCAAAAGCCACGCTGAGCCAGTCACTAGATCCAAAAAAAACTGAGCATTCGCATTTCGGAGCCGTTGACACCAAGCAGCAATGACCGGACACGACGGCCACCTGTCCACCTCTGTGACGCTGGGCCTGGGCCTTTTGGCCGCCACTATGACGCTCATCACGGCGGGCAGCGTGGGACTTGTGGGTTTCATGCTGGGCCGCCAGATGCCGCAGCAGGAGACGGAGAGCTCCTCATCCCAGAAGCGCGACAAGCACCACGAGTACGCCACGCAGGACCAGGAGCGCCGCCACCGCCTGCGCATCCCCAGTGGCACTGCCAGTGAGGATGTCAAGATCACGGACAAGAAGGCTATCATGGACGTGCGTATTTCAGGCATTCGACCGCTCATCCCTCCGGCCATTCTGCTCGAGGAGATCCCGCTCACCAACAAGATCGTGCAGACCGTAAGTTAGAGTTGTCACACGTGCTGTAAATGTCCTTGTGGCTGATTCTGTGTCTATTGCTACAGATTAACCGCGGTCGTCAAGGTCTGGCCAACATCCTACGTCGTCTGGATGACCGTCTTGTGGTGGTGGTGGGCCCCTGCTCCATCCACGACACGGACGCCGCCATGGACTACGGTGAGTTACTGTAGCTATCTGATAGATGATAGTGGGATGCTGACGTTCCGGTGGTGCGTCATGTGTAGCCAAGCGTCTGCTGGAGCTCAAGAAGGAGCTGAACAAGGACCTGCTCATTGTCATGCGCGTATACTTCGAGAAACCCCGTACTACCGTCGGCTGGAAGGGTCTGATCAACGACCCGGACCTCGATGGATCGTTCAACATCAACAAGGGTCTGCGCGTGGCTCGTGAGCTACTGGCTGCCATCAACGAGCTCGGCCTGCCGGTGAGTAGCAACGAATTTAACCATAACAGGAGCTTTAACTAACAGTTATATGTTGTCAGGCCGGTTGCGAGTTCCTGGACACCATGTCGCCGCAGTTCATCTCGGATCTGGTCAGCTGGGGTGCTATTGGCGCCCGTACCACCGAATGCCAGCTGCACCGTGAGCTCTGCTCGGGTCTGTCCATGCCTATTGGCTTCAAGAACGGCACGGGTGGCGACCTGCAGCTCGCTGTGGACGCCGTTGTTGCTGCCAAGCACTCGCACTGCTTCCTGAGCGTCAGTTCGCAGGGTCTGGCCGCTATTGTCAACACGTCGGGCAACGACACGTGCCACCTGATCCTCCGTGGCGGCAAGTCGGGCCCCAACTTCGAGAAGGAGCACGTGGACGACGCGTCTGCGCGCATGCTCAAGTCGAACCTGGTGGACAACGTCATGATTGACTGCTCGCACGGCAACTCGCAGAAGAAGCACAAGAACCAGGTCAAGGTGGCGGCCAACATCGCCGACCAGCTGCGCGCCGGTGACGACCGCATTGTTGGAGTGATGCTCGAGTCCAACATTGAAGAAGGAAACCAGCCTCTGACCCCTGGCAAGCCGCTCGTGTACGGCAAGAGTGTGACGGACGCCTGCATGGGCTGGGAGACCACCGTCGAGGTGCTGCGCGACCTGGCTGCTGCTGTGCGTGAGCGCCGGGCGAAGAACCACCAGTAAGAGGCGTAGCGGAGGCAAGGTCGCTAGTGACCTTCACTCTGAGTTAGTTCAGTTCTCCACTTTATCAAAAGTTAAGAACACGCTCATTTTCACCTTCAACTTGGTAAATATTTTCATTTATTTATGTTAAGTTTTTTGTTGTTGCAAATGCTAGGTGCTATCTTGCGTTATCAAAGCCTGTTCCTCTTCTCGCTGCAGCGCGTCGTGATATCAACGGCGTCTTGGAGAAGGGAGAAATCACGTGAATTTCTTGGTCTGGCCTGGGCGAGCGACCACGATCTGCAACAGTTTTGACTTCAAAATTCGGCGTACCCGGGCGACGGTAAGGTTTCCGTTCACTTGCTATTTCCACGTCATCCGGCCCCATTCTGGGTGTCAATTGTAGCGGGGGCTGCGATTTCTCCTCTTCCTTCTTGTCCTCCTTCATCTCAACTGCTGGTGACTCCTGCTCTTTCTCTTCGGTTCTCTGAACCGCGACAGGCGAGTTCCCTTCCTCGTACGCGTTGGCAAGCTGATCAATTTCGTTCGGGTCGAAGCTGCCTATAGACTTGGTAGTCGTTTGCCCACTCTCTCGACTTGGCGAAAGCCACGAGGACAGCAGCGACTTCGCTGTCACCGACAATTCTGGAATGCTGGTCTCTTCCGTGATAGTTTTCTCGACAAGTTTTGTTTTTCGAGAACTATTATCCGCAACAAGCCGCTTGAGTCGCTTTCGCACGACCTCAATCTGCACAGCTCTGTGTATTTTAGCAGCACCCGTAGTTCGGTGTTTCGAGCCTTGTTTAGTTTCTGCTTGTCTTCGACGATATTCACCTGTTGCCATTGGTGGCAGTCTCTCAGTTACTAGTTGAATCCGACGCTGTACATCAGTTGGAAGAGTTTTATGCTCTGATTCTAGATCAGCACTATGCTTATCATACTCTTCTTGTGGGAGAAATCGTAGATCATCTTCGCTAGCGTCTTCTCGGTGCAATTTAGCTCGTAGCATTTGCTCCAACCTTCGTTGTATTTTATCGTATTCAGCAGCTAACACCGGATCGAGACTCATCCAAGAAGGCTCGAGAGGCTTTTCATCAGTAGACGTTGTGTTCCGCATTCTTACCAGTCGTGCATCAACGAGTCGGTCGATTTTAATAAACTCCACATTCTTCTTGGCAAGAAACCCACGAACGAGGGCCTGCAGTCGCACAAGACGAGCGAGATTGGTGTTTCTATCTCGTAAATTGTTTTCGTCCTGTAGTGTTGGCAAGTCAGTCACAGATAATTCCATTGACGCACGCCTGATATCTTCGATACGGTTTGAAACAACTGCATGAGTTTCAATCACTTCTCCAACTTGCTCGGCTACTACTTCGTGGTAAGGAATAATTTCAACTTCAATGTTGTTCCTGAGCTCGTGAATCAGCATGTCACCAGATAACTCGACGCCAGTCTGTTTGTGGTGAAGCAGCACGCGGTGGTACGTCATAGTAGCGGTGATTTCTGCAGTACCTTCATCTTCAGCTTCGAATTCATCTTTTCCAGACAGAGTTTTAGCGATCACAACGCGTAAATCGTTGGCTGTCATTGCTTCCTCCACCTGCACATGTATTCGATTGTCGTAGTGATGGTGAGCGTATTCCAGTTCCGGAGCTGTAAGCGCAGCCTCCAATGAAGAGATTTCTATCATGATTCGCCAATTGGATGTCTTCGCAAGTGCTCGACGGGTCAAAAACCCAAGCGCCATTTTCCCAATGACATGCGCTGCTTGTTGGAATTTCGCTCGTGGATCAACCGCCTTCGATTTGTTCTCCTCGTGGACGAAAGGAATAACAGGGGCCTTTTCCTTAGCAGTGGCAAGTGGATGTACAACGGGAGGTGGCGAGACAATCGACTTAATAGCTTCAATTCTGACAGGTGGCACAACAACAGCAGCGGCTGGGGCGACTTTGGGCTCCGCTTCAGTTTGAATCGCTTCACTGATCGTCTCAACTTTGGGTTCCCGTTTACCTTCATCTTCTTCGTCAGTTTGAATAACTTTATCTTCCAGCCGCGCGACCGATTTATTAACAGCAGGCTGTTGTGGCTCCACCACTTCGCCTCGATCAACACCGAATCGCTCAGCATCTAATGCTGTTAAATCTGTCAGCCTCATCGTTGGTTCTGGACGGTGTTGTTTTTTCTTAAGTTTGTTGTACTTCGTCCACAATTTGCTGCTCTCTTGTTCTAAGGCGTCAATCTCTTGCTGCTTCTGGGCTTGAGCTCGCAAAAATGTATCCATAAGCTTCTCCACCTTCTCCGACCATTTCGCATCAGATTTAGTTGCCTCCTCGTCGTCATTCTCGAGCTTTCCAGCTCGGGAGGGTTTCAGCGCCTGAATTCGAATAAGCTCTGCATTCGCAATTTCTACTTGAAGCCGAGTGATAGCTTCCTGCGTGTACTGCCGCAAATCTTGCTTTGTATCTTCCTGCTTCTTCTCGATGTCAACAAGAGTAGTTTGTAGTTTTTCCATGTACTGTTCGATCTTTGAACTCATTTGCTGTTGTTGGTTCTCGAGTTGTTGTCGCTGTCTATCTCTTGTCTCTTGATCAACACGAACTTGATCTTGTAAAGCCATGAGTTGTTTTGCTAATTGGTTCTTCTCTTCTAGCGCATCGAGGATCTCCTTCGGTAAGGGAGCTGGTTTTTCAGGTTTCTTCTTTTTCTTTTTCTTCTTGGAATCACTATCGCTGCTTGAGCTAGACGAGCTCTTCTTCTTTTTCTTCTTCTTTGTGTCTTGATGTCGTTTCTGCTGATGGCGCAGTAAATACTCTGCAGACACAAACCGCTTCCCACATAAAACACAGGACACCGCTGTAATAATTAACCAAATAAGAACGTACAGATTAGAATCTCCATATCTTCGAAAGATATGTACGTATCTCAACTTACCATTTGCAATTGATCCCTCTTCTGTCGCTGCGGACTCTGCTTGATTAGTTATGAGTTCATCAACCAGAGCGTTAGCCTCTCGAGCCGCGTTTTCCTTCGCAGAGCTGTTAATACGATTAGAAGCTGATGCATTGAGTAGCATCAACTCCAACGTAGCCATTGTGCGCTGCTTTTGTCGGATTTCGCGTTTTAAGCTGGCAATCTCTGCTTCGTGCTGTCCGTTCTCGGTCTCGAGTTGTTGACATTCTGTCACCAGTTGTTCACACTGCTTCTCTAGTCCCTCTGAATGATCCACAAGCGAATCTTGAACGTGCATAAGATACTCCAACGTAAGCTATTCAAACAAAGCTGTAGTTAGTCAATGAAGTAAGCTCACCCGACTAATGACAAACCATACCTGTGCAATCTGGAACAGCTTCAGAAAATAAGCATCTGAATAATGCTGAACGTCATCCAGCGTCACATCTGAAAAGGCTAGATTTTCCAGATGTCTCTGGATGGTTTCAATATCTGTAGTAGCTGCAATTTTCTCCAGATCCAGCCGTGCAATAGCGCGGGTATCCAGTTTCCCAGCTCGCTGTCGGAACGCAAAGTTACGTGTAGGCAGCCAAACCTGCCGCTGCAGTCCGTGGGTCGGACTTGTCGGCTCGTTCTCCTTATTATCCAAGTCTTCGGCGCCATCACTATCCCCATCCAGATGCCCGAAAGACCTTTTCACTTTGCGTTTTGCTAGAAATTTGGCGCGGTCGTTGAATTCTCGTGTTGTCGATCTCCGACCTTCGCGGAGCTTTGAGAAACTCTCAGGATGTCGTGAATTCGAGAATCCGCGGCGATGGGGTGGCAATCGTCCTCGAGATCGAAATGCAGATGATGAAGTAGCCCGAAGTGGACCAAAAATCCCCGTGTACTCGTCGTGGCCGCTATAGAAGCTTGAGTCCTCCATGTAGTAGCTCCCCATCTGGAGAAATCTACGACTCTAAAAAGATTCGTGTCGCTTCAGTGAAGGATATTTTTCAAACGTCACTCGACTCAAGAAATCAACCATAATTGTTACAGTCGGTTCAAAATGAGTGAATGCCAATGTTACACCGCAATCCAATTTTCTTGAGTATTCCATATGCAATTTCGTTCAATATCTATTACGTTGACATATTTGTTTGCAGCCACTTGAACTGAAAGCTAAAGTCTAGACCTGATACATCAAGAGCATCCTGGTTAGCAAAGGTTTTGTCAATGAAAATTGACTCACATTCATACCGAAATGCACCAGAGTGATCTGTAACAAAGGCATTATCCACACGAAAAGACGACCTTGCACCAATTCCACTCTAGTTTCCAGAACAAATGCAAGCTGATACAGAAGCGAGAAACCGAATCTGCGTTTTAATACCACATGAAGCCATACCAGAGACAGCATCTCTGCTGAGGCATACATCATAATACTCCCGACATTTGTTCGAAGTTCCTCCGGCGTCAAATTCCGTGTGTGAGGGTAATACTTTGCACTTGGTAGAGCGTAGACGATGGTTAAGTAAATGACGTATACTGTGGGGATGACACTCTCGATATACTCGATCAAAACTAAATACTCCAAGCGAAAGAGCATTTTTCGAGAACTACGATCCAGTGCGGATGCTGTTCTAGCAAGCTTCGACCCGGAACTTCGTGGGGTTGGTGCAGGCGTTGCCAAATCCACCGGCAATTTAGTAGGGAAGTTGAGCTCGGAGGGAACAATTTGGTTTTTGAAGATAGTGGTTCGGAAAAGGCTCACAGAACGAAGCCTATTTGTTTCGAGGGTATTATTACCTCCAATTACGTGACTGAGTGATTCAAATCTGGCGCTTTCTGTCAAACTTCGAGTGCTTTAGCATGCCGCGCGATCTCCCATAAAGCGATCAATGTTTGGCAAACGTTCAATACGATCATCAACGAGGAAGTCCACCAGGAACGGGAAGACTGAAGACAGATCGATATATATAATCCATTGAACAGATCAACAGTAAACACAACGACGACAGGGATCGTTTCGGAGTCTTCGGAGGCTAAACGAGCGATCAAATGCTTGAAAAAGAGTTTCATCACTGGTAAAAACAAAAGTAACCCAAACTGTTGCTGACGTGTGCATTTTGTGAAGACGACACTGAACGGCACGTAGACAAATACCAGCGCTGACTGCGCGAGAATGAGGTAAATTTTCTGCTTGAGAGCCGCATGAACGACTCCTCCGATTGAAATCAACACAAAGGTTACGAAAAATACTTGAAATGGGATGGAAATGAGAACGATACCAAACGGTAGTGGGAATGCCCACAGAGCAGCCAACACTATCAAAACCATTATTGTCCCGCATCCAGTTCCCATCGTAATGAGAAGAATTTTGCGATACGATAATTCTGGCGCCACACCTCGGATTTGAAACAGAAACCCAAACGCTGCAGAGCAGATGAAAACCCAGAAACGAATCCATGCACCGATGTTAGCATTCCAGCCGGCACTTGGATCTTGTAATGGAACGCATTCCGTTAAAATTCCAAGCAGTAGCGCTGCACATGGAGTTAGTGCACATACTGCGAATACACGACGAAGCGGGGCATTCTGGCAATATTGTTCAAGTTCATGAGTTCGTTTTGTAGAGTACTCTCCGGCCCTAGATATTTTGACTCGGTCCCACACGAGAAGAACCGATCGGCACAAACAAGAAGCACGTGAAGGCTTCACTTTGAAACGAAGATCGGATCCAGCGGGCCCGTTCGGGGCGATTGTGTTCAAATGCATTTCTTAATGCTCGTCCACATAAAACGCAAAAAAAAAAAAAAACTAGAAATAAGTCAAGGGAAACTAATTCAATTTTTTTTTAAGTGCTTTAGTCTTTTTCTTTAAAACTTAATAAAGTACTTGAAAATAATAAAAAAGACAAGAAACTTAAAAAGCACAACACAATTTGTGTCACACAAATGCTAACACAAATGGGACTACAAATACCGTCATAAACTGACCCACACCGTCACAAACCGAAGCAGGACCCGCGTCGATGTATGGGATTTTAAAAAAGAAGCATAGTGAAACTAAGATTTGTGACCCCGGAAAAATAGTCCCCCACTTGATACACCTTATTTACTATTATTGTACCGATGGTGCAGGCAACGTTGGCGCATGTGGCGGCGGGTTGCAACGCCGCTACGAATTCGCTGTCGGTGGCAGTGAGCAGTGCACCTTCACCACCTGCATGCGGAAGTTGCTGCGCTGCATTTGCCGCCAGGAACGTGGTGTGTCTGCTGAAAAGCAGTGTCGAGAGTGACAATCATTCGGATCCACTAAAGGTCGTGGAGACTTTGAAGCACCGAGAAGCGACAACCGACGCCACGAGGCTCACTAGTATCCGACTGCAGTATAGCCATCAATCTGGCCATGTCCAGGTAATTGCGGGTGACTCAGAAGGCCGCGTATTTGTGTGGACAAAGGGATCCGAAGGACATTGGAAACTCCAGAAGCTGCAGGGTGCAGAACAAACGCTCCCGGTGGCTGCGGTGGCCATTGCAGAGACCAAAGAACGAAGAATGCATGTCGCTGCGTTTTCAGATGGAACATTGGCGGTGTTTGAAGAGAGAAGCGAAGGAAATGTGACGCTTTTGAGTCGACTGGAGCTTGGACGGAAGTGTATCATGGAAACGGTGGATATGACGGTAGTAGGAGACCAGGTGCTCTTAGCAGCAGGCGGAGTGGACGGGAAGGTGCATCTGTTCGAAGTGACGGATACTGTGACTAAGTTGTTGGAGTTAGAGGGACATAAGGGCTGGATCCGCAGTCTCGCTTTTGATCATCAAAAGACTGACACTGGAGATGTTGTGACTCTAGCATCTGCGTCACAGGATCAACGGATTCGACTGTGGAGAATCACTACAAGCCCTAGAGATGCTGGTGCAACGTCTGGAGAGGTGAAGGATGGGTTTTTAGCACATGGATGCCACTTGACGTATACTGTGAGTTTTGACGCTTTGCTACTTGGTCATGAAGATTGGGTCACATCTGTACACTGGATGGAGAATGGATCCTCATTACTTTCTTCCTCTATGGATAACACGCTCATTGTGTGGACCAAACCTGCTGATACCAGTGGGTCATGGTCACCATCGCTTCGGGTCGGCGAATTAGGAGGGAACGGTCTATTGTCTGCAGGTGTGTTACCAGCACGCGATGGACGTTTGAACTTGATTTCGCTCGGCTTTGGTGGACAACTGGAGCGGTGGGAGCAGCAACCAGCGCCGTCGAAATTATTCTTACCTGCGATCTCTGTTAATGGCCATTGTGCCGAGGTCACGGATCTTTCATGGTCACCAAGTGGAAATTGCTTGGCGTCTGTGTCGCTGGACCAGACCACACGTGTTCTGGCACCAGTGGAAAGCGAGTCTAAAGGTATACAAGAATGGTACGAGATCTCGAGAGCTCAAGTGCACGGATACGACATCAACTGCGCGTGTTTCGTGCAAGGAGAACGTCCAACAAACGATTTATTCGTCAGCGGTGCCGACGAAAAGATTCTGCGCGTATTCGAGGCTCCCGATGAGGTGAAGGAGCTGGCTCGACGACTGCAGAAGGCCAACAACGACAGCGTGGCAACACAAGACAGTGCTGGGCAAGACCGGGCAGTGCAGCATGCATACCTTCCAGAACTGAGTCTGACGAATAAGTCCGCACAAACGGAAGCATCAGAAACGTCCGCTGTTGGTCTAGAAAGTGGCGACGGCTACGCTAAACTAAGTGATAGGGTCTCGTTACCAGTGGGTGACAGACTAGCGCGTAAGACGCTGTGGCCTGAGCAACGCAAGCTTTATGGTCACGGCAATGAGCTGCTTAGTGTGGCGTCGTCTCATGCTGGTGACTTGATAGCATCTGCGTGTAAGTCACGGGAAGAGAAGTTCGCTGCAGTCCGCCTTTGGAATACAACGGATTGGAGCGAAGCACAGCCTCCACTTGAGGGGCACAAGAGCTCTGTCGTGCAGTTGGCGTTCTCTCCGAATGACCAGTTCTTGCTGTCGGTATCTAGGGACAGGCAGTTTTGTCTGTACGAGCGACAAAGTCCCGGACAGAAGTTTACGCTTGTAGAGCGCGTGAAAGCGCACAAACGGATTATTTGGAGCTGCTCGTGGTCTCTGGACTCAAGAATGTTTGCTCTCGGGTCTCGAGACCAGTCCATATCGATCTGGCATCAAGTTGGAGGGAAGTGGGCTCATGCGTGTGAGCCCGTCACTTTTGACGCTGCTGTCACAGCTGTAACGTTTGCTCCGTGCAGCATGACAGAGACTGCAGATCTACTTGCTGTTGGACTGGAGACTGGAGCGATCCGATTCCTTTCTGTCTCGAAAAGTAGAGAGGAAAATGCTGCAATTTGCACTCCAGTGGGCGAAGTTCCGAGGGAGTTATCGCCGTCCGCTGCAGTCTTGCGTTTGGCTTGGCGTCCTACCACAAACGAGAGAGAACACGTGCTTGCAGCAGCAAGCGCTGACAGCTCAGTGCGTGTCTACAACCTCGAACTTTAAACGGAGAGAGGTCACATTTGATTCCTAAGAGCAGTTAAATTGCCTACTTGGAGTTTTGAGCACTCCATTGCTTGTACTTGGCTATCTCGCTTTGGAGAATCTCACCCTGGGTCGGGTACAGTTCCTTGACATAGTCAAGATCTTGTCGACACAATACGTGAATCTGGACCCACGTCAGTGCTATCGCCGTTGCTGCCCGCCTCGTGTTTTGTAACAATGCCATCTCTCCAAAGTAATCCCCCTTGTGAAGGATGTGAATAATCTTGATAATCGCCGAGTTGGGATCTAGTACCCCAACTGATCCCTTAGACCCAATAAACCCCATCCAGTCCCCGAACTCGTCTTTCCTAATCAATACGTCGTCTTGCATGTAAATAACAGTGCGCAAGTGTAGAATGAGAGCTTCGATCACAGCTGGAGCCAACGTTCTCGAGGACAAGAAGGGGATTTTCTTGAGCATATCTCGATAAAGCTGAAATTTTACTTCACATATTAGAGCTGGGGACAATTCGTTAATAAAGGCATCGGCGTCCGCACTAACACTCTTTGTTTCCCGCCAGAGATTCTCATAGTATCCTCGAATACGGTCGGACAGCTCCTCCGATATCCCGAGGAAGCGACAACGTTCAGAAGTCGAGATGATTTTCTTACTATACGCTGCCTCATCCTCGTCGATCGAGGCTATTAGCGCTGCCACAGCACCGAAAACACTGGCCTGTAGTATATTACCGACTAGCATGAAACACGCCACTGATACCAACTCGGCTGGAGAGTACATTATAGGAGGACTGGCATTCACGCAGCCAATTACTAGCGACCAGCACAGACTGTATTCCTCAAACAAAGTTTTTGGAACAAAACTCCCTTCTTCCAAGTGTGCTCGCCAGTCAACAGCGACCCAACTCCAGTAACATGTGAGTAAATGTGAAATAGTCAACACAAGCCCTAGAAGCAGAACAAACCGGACGATACCCGCTTTCTTAGCCGAGTGGAGTTTACGTGCTAGATGACTCACTTTAGCTAATCGAAAGATCTTTAGAAACCCGACAACATTGCTGTGACTTGTTCTCATAAACGACTCGAACGGGAGCCAACTCAGTAAATCCGGTAAAGCCCAGCCACTACTCAAGTAATTCCTCACCGTTTGCTTGGGTCCGGAAATGAGATTGCCGTGTTCATCGGTAAATGAAGAAAACATCCGCACAAAGAAGTCCACAAAGTAAACCATAGACTCCAAGGTACTGTAGCAATCCAGAAATTTAGACTCGTAGTTAAAGCCGAGAGACAACGGGGTAAACACGAGGTCAAGTAAAATCATCACAATGACCAACACATCCCAAGCGGTGCGGTATGCTGAGTCGTGGTGGAGCGTGAATCGGCTCATTTCTCCTTCAAGGTTACGCGCAGACGTGATTTCTTCCGGAGTGATGTCGTGATTGTGACCGTCGTGACTACTCCGCGACTCCGAGATAGCAACACTCTGAGACCTGGCCAGATTAATGGATCTGACGGAAAAGCGCCGACTAATCATATCACGGTCAACTGATGCCAGCTTGGCAAGCTTGCGTGCTTTGGTAAAGGGTATAATTTTGCTTCGGACTTGGAATGGTAGCGAAATTTTGGGTGTTAGTCGAGATTTCTCTTGTGGTGAGGCAGGACGCATCTCGACTTTAGTGAGCCACTCGGAAGATAATGTCGGATCTGGAATAGCAATAGGCATACTTAACTTCTTCACTAGGTGATGAGGAGTAGCAGCTTGTGAAAAGGTACGATTTGGTACTGCATCGGATGGAATCGTAGCTGTGTCATCTTGAAGATACGCTGGATCTCTGGACTTTAATACATCGTTTGCTACTGAATTATCAATCGGTTTCCCCAGTGCCAACGTTGAAAGGCTGTCACTAAGACGCCGAGTCTGTGTCTTCACCTCTGCCGTCTATGTATTTAGCACAAACGAAAATGTAAGAGAAATAAACAGAAGGGCAAAATAATCTGACCAACCTGGTGTTGTCGGTGCACTAAAGTGCTCAACTCACGCAACATTTTATTGGTTGCAAGGATGTCGGTTTGCACTTCATCAAGGCGTTCTTCCAGTCGCCTGAATTCTTCCGGACTAATACACTTGTGTTTCGGAGTAACATCGTTGTGCTGGTCATCAAACTCATCGAGATCCACGGCCTCCATCATGCTGCTAGGATGGCGACAGCAACGCACCCAGAGCACAGCAAGTTACGAACGCAACGGATGACAGTAAAAGCGAAAATAGCGTGCAAGTACTATCAGTTTATCACCATCCTAACTTGTAAATGTATTCTGTTCTATTTCACTATAATTGGTAATGGATCTACTTATAGCGAACCTTAGACTGCATGTACTTGTTGATCTCCCGTTCGAGGATCTCCGTCTGGGTCGGATACTGTTCCTTCACACTATCAAGATCATTACGACACAATACGTGGATTTGCACCCACGTCAACGCAACAGCCGTCGTGGATCGTTTAGCCCTTTGCAGTAGCGCCATCTCGCCGAAATAATCTCCTTTGCGCAGGATTCGAATAATCTTGCGAGTGTCGCTGCTCGGATCAAGCACACCAACAGAACCTTTGGAGCCAATAAAGCCCATCCAGTCACCAAATTCCCCTTTGCGAATCAACACGTCGTCTTGCATGTAAATGACCGTCCGTAAGTGCAAAATCAGCATCTCGATCACTGCTGGAGCCAGAGTCTTAGCAGAAAGAAAAGGGATCTGCTTGAGCATATCGCGATATAACTGAAATTTGACTTCGCAGATTAGAGCAGGGGAAAGCTCGTTGATAAAGGAATCTGCGTCACTGTTGACACTCTTCGTTTCTCGCCATAAATTCTCATAGTATCCGCGAATTCGCTTGGTCAATTCGTCCGAAATACCCAAGAACCGACAGCGTTCTGACGTCGAGATAAGCTTCTTGTTGTACGCTGTTTCATCTTCGTCAAACGATGAAATGAGCACCGCAACGGAACCGAAGACGCTGGCTTGAAGAATGTTGCCGGTCAGCATGAAACAAGCGACGGAGATCTGTTCAATAGCGGTGAACATTGGAGGTGGACTTGCGTTTAAGCACCCGACAACCAGAGACCAGCATAATGTGTACTCGTCGAACAAAGATCGGGGTACAAACGTGTTCTCTTCTAGGTGTGCACGCCAGCCTTGAGCCACCCAGCTCCAGTAGCAAGCCAATAGATGAATTACAGTCAGAACGATGCACAGTAACAAGATAAATCTCAGGATCCCCGCCTTCTTCGCAGAGTTAAATTTTCGAGCTAACTGGCTCACTTTGGCAAGTCGAAAGATTTTCGTAAAGCTGAGAACTCGACCTTTACTAGATGACGCAAAGAGCTCGAACGGGAACCAGCTAAGGAAGTCGGGAATCGCCCAACCACTTAGTAAATAATTCGCTGCCGTTCGCTTGGGTCCCGAGATGAGATCACCGCGTTCATCAGTGTAGGAGGAAAAAATGTGGACAATAAAGTCGATCACGAAAAGAATCGTTCCACAAATATTCAAACCATTCATAAAGGGCGGCGTGAAGTTAAAGCCAAGCGATAGGGGTGTTAAGATAACATCGAGGAGGATCATAGCCATGATCAATAAGTCCCAAGCATAACGATACGGAGAGTCGTGATATAGTGTGAATCGACCCAGTTCTCCTTCGAGATTTCGAGCTGACAGAATGTCCTCAGGTGAGACTGTGGCATCCATGCGTTGTCCTTTAGCAAACATACTTTTTAGCCGGTTTTTAGTGTGGACCTGGGTGACCAAAGTTGAAGTAATTGAGAAGCGCCGCGTGACGACTTTCGCGTCCGTATCCTTGTTTACAAGTACCAAAGACTCGTCATTAAGATTTCTTTGTGGCTGGATCGTAGAGATAGGGACAATCGCATTGGATGCCGTGGCTGTAGTTGCCTCTTTCGAAGCATCAGGTTTACTTTTCCGACTGTCTTGTGCTCGGATCAGGGACTTCCGGAGTGCTGTGAATTCCGGTTTCAAGACAGCAAGACCGATACTTTTTTTCTTCGATGCAGGAGGTGGTACTGGCGGATTACCAAGAACCGATTCTGGGTCTGGCTGTAGAGTATCAACTCGACTAATTTGAGGGTCCGTTTGTGTCCCTGCCCTCGTCTCCGTGCGAAAACTTGACGAAGTGTCAACTGTACCAGGGGGATCGGACGGTAACAAGCTCATGGGAGCAATTCCGTTCGCTGGCAGAGATCGAAGTGACGGACCTTTGCCTAGTACTGGGAAGTTTGAAGGAGAGACGCTTTCACTTAGACTTCTGCTACGGTGTTTCGAATGAGTTGATGTCTAGAAAGAAAAACACCTTACACTTAGCCGAATACAGAGCGCTTGTGAAGCCACAACAACGCACCTGGAGTTGTCGATGCACGAACGCGCTCAAGTCTTTCATCATTTTATGAGTAGCTCGAATTTCAGCTTGCATTTCCTCAAGTCTCTGCTCCAAGTTTACAGGTTTATGTGAACCACCGTTTTGTTTCGGTACAAATGATGCAGCTGAGTCATGTCTTCCATCTTGGTCATCGAACAAACGTAGTGCAGGGTCGTTGTCGTGGTCCATGATATCGGATGAATAGATAACGATAGTGCTATTGAAACGATGAACAAGAGGACTGGGAGGAGAGCTGAATACAACTACAGCTGAACAACACGCAAACGCGAAACCAACGCAGGAGTTCCAAAATGGACGCTCATGTGGTAAGAATAGGAATTTATGTCAATAAAAGTGACGTCTTGGCTAGTAGCATTCTAGTTGCTAAATTAGCTTTACAAGCAATTTTGACCCACGAGCTAAAGGAAAAAATTAAAACTTTTCTTGCTGCCACCGCTCAGTTCCCGACGTCATCTTCTTATACTTGGTAATCTCGCTTTCAAGAATCTCCGCTTGAGTCGGATACATCTCTTTGACGTAGTCGAGATCTTGTCGACAGAGTACATGGATCTGCACCCACGTAAGAGCTACCGTCGTTGCAGATCGCTTCGTGTGTTGCAGTAACGCCATCTCGCCAAAGTAATCACCTTTCCGAAGAATACAAAGGATTTTGCAGGTTTCCGAATTCGGATCCAGCACTCCGACAGTACCTTTGGACCCGATAAACCCCATCCAGTCTCCAAATTCACCTTTTCGAATCAACACGTCATCTTGCATGTAAATGACCGTGCGTAGATGAAGAATTAGCACTTCAATCACAGCAGGGGCTAATGTCTTGGCTGACAAGAATGGAATTCGTCTGATCATATCTCGGTAAAGTTGAAATTTGACTTCACAGATAAGAGCAGGTGACAACTCGTTAATAAAGGCGTCGGCATCACCACTGATACTCTTCGTCTCCCGCCACAGATTCTCGTAATATCCACGGATCCGCTTCGCAAGATCGTCAGGAATACCTAGGAACCGACAACGTTCCGACGTCGCAATGATCTTCTTACTAAAAGCTGCCTCATTCTCATCCAAAGACGAAATTAGTGCAGCCACAGCTCCGAAAACACTGGCTTGTAGTATATTACCCACCAGCATAAAACAAGCCACTGATATTAACTCGGTCGCTGAGTACATGACAGGAGGACTTGCATTGACACATCCGATTACAAGAGACCAGCAGAGACTGTACTCTTCAAACATTGTTTTCGGTACAAAGGTTCCATCTTCCAAATGAGATCTCCACTCGACAGCCACGTAACTCCAGTAGCAAGTCAATAAGTGCGCAATTGTGAGAACTAGAGCCAGCAACATGAGAAACCGAACTAGACCCACTTTGTTGGCAGAATGCAGTCGATATGCCAAATGACTCACTTTGGTTAACCGAATTATCTTAGTAAACCCAAGAGCGTCACTATGACTGAAGTTGGCACAATACTCAAACGGGAACCAACTGAGAAAATCCGGAATCGCCCAGCCACTCAGCAGATAATTCATTGATGTACGTCTTGGACCAGATATGAGATCACCATGCTCATTGACATAGGACGAGAACATCCGCACAAAAAAGTCAATTGTGAAAATCACGGGTTCCAAAATATTGTAAAAGTCGAGAAAGTTGGAGTCGTAGTTAAAACCCAAAGATAACGGCGTGAACACAATATCGAGCAGAATTATCACCATGACGAGCGTATCCCAGATGAGGCGATGCCGTGAATTGTGTCGTAAAGTATACGGCTGTACTTCACCTTCAAGGTTGCGAGCATTCAGGATTTCCTCGGGAGACACACTCGCATCTGCCGGTTTTTCAGCAAATATATTGTTCTTCCGTTTCCTGACAGTTCCGGTGCTTCGAGTCAAGTTCATGGAGCTAACCGAGAAACGACGGAAAACTTCATCGTCGTCTGATGAGTTTGAGGTTTCAGCCTTCATTTTGCTCAGTTGTACAATTTTCATGATACGTCGCTGTAGTGGAGTTGGTGGTTGACCAGACTCATCGGTCGCACCGTTTGAAGGAACTAAAGCGCTTTCAGGGCCATTCTGGGTAGGCAACGACGTCTCTGGTACAGCACTAAGAGTTCCAGATTTCTTGTCCACTGACGTCGTAGGTGTAACAGAGTGAGTAGGTTTTGCGGCGGCAGCATTGAATGCGTCAACTGCGCTGTTAATTGCTTGTGGCATCTCTGGAGGCACGAGTCTCAGAGCTTCGAGTCCACCTAAAGTGCCCAGTGGAGGTCCTTTTGTGTACATGTTGAAGCCCATGGGCGAACAGTTCTCGCTCAAATTCCGGTTCTTGTTCCTCGAAACCGTGAGCTACACAATTGGTCATACAATACGTTTGCATTTACATTGAAAATCAAAGAGTACCTGGAGTTGACGGTGCACCAAGGAGCTCAACTCTCGAAGCATTCGATGTGAAGTCTGCATATCCACTTGCAGTTGATCCATTCGTTCCTCCATGACCTTGAGTCGATCCGAATCACTGTGCGGTTTGTTGCGGGAGGAGTCGTATCGCTGTTCTACGATCGGTGGCAGCTCCTCAACATTGCGGTTCATCTTGTACAAATGCTATATAATTGTAGAAGGGCGCCTAATTTGACAACCGCTCAAGCGAGAGGTCATTGCAAAGATCTATCTTCGACGACTCACGAATATGGACGAGCGGATAACCGATACACAGCCATTAAAGGAGGCGAACAACGACAAGATCCGGTCTTTAAGAGCTGCGATCGATGCCAAGCTGCACGAACAAGGCATCTATGAACAGATCCGAGATTTGGTCAACTCGAAGATCAAAGTGACATCAACGGATGACGATAAACAGCCTAACAGTGAAAAAGATCCTGTCGATGAAGACGCTTCTCGTTCAAGAGAAGATCAATTGATCCATGATGTCTTAGAGAGTGAAGTCGTGCAACAGCTTTTGGCTACAGTTCGGTCGATGGAGTTGACTCCACCTGAAAAATCGACCAACCACGAAGATACCAATGACGATATTGTAGAATTAGAGAACGAACGAGAGGTGTTCCTGTACTTGCGCTTATCTGGCGGGAAGGCGTTTGTCGATCAACTAGTGGAACTCGAACAGGATAACAAGAGCGCTGACCAGGAAGACGTCGGTCTGGATGAAAAAAGGTGTCCCGTTGGAAGCGTATTGACATTTTTTCGCGTAAATGTTTCGTTTCAAAGGCAACGTCAAGCCTCGCGAGACATTCGATGTTGTGTTGATCCGCCGTTTGATGAACATTTTCGCTTTCGCGTGGAGAAGAAGAGAACTCGAACTGCTAGAACTCGAGGTGGGGCCAGTTACGCTGTCGACGTGCTGTCACCCTGGGAAGCTCTATGTCTGGTAGAGGAACCTGTCCAGTTAACGTTGGTTAAAGTCACCAAGAAGCTACTGAGTAGAGATAGCAACGGTAGTGCTCAGTGGCGTGAACTCTCTTGCGAGTTGTTGGCAGTTCATCGACTTGATTGGAGACGAGTATTGTGTTCTACGCTCCAACTTGTACACTTTCCCATTCAACTTACTGGCCGGATGAAAGAACCTGTGGGGAGTTTAGATATTCGCGCTGATCTGCTGAATTGTAAGCGGACTACAAGTATCGCTCACGAGGCTCGGACATTCCTAAATAAGGAGTCAATCCAGCGGAATGCGAGCAATCACTCCTTCTACAAGTACGCCAAGCAGTGGTGGGATGAGTACCGAAGCGAAACTCGCCAGGATAAAAGACAATCTTCAAAGCATTCGAATGGAGAGGATGAATATTCGCAGTTATTAGCACAGATTGGATCACGACAACGTCTTGTTAAGATGTTTGCTGAGGACGAAGAAGGTCGATATCGCATGATTTGCAAATTTGTAACACCGCTACGTGCTCCTATGGCTGTAAGAAGCCCAAGTGAAGCCGCTCGCTTCGTTGGTTTGCTGCCATATGAGTCAAATTCACTTGTTGGAGGTGGAAGTGATGAAACCTGGCGATCCATTGCCACGGTACTATCTGTTCGAAAAGGCGATGCTCAAGACCACGCTGTAAGTTTTGTATTTATTTAAGATGCTGCTCTTGAATGGTTTTGGAATTAATGTGTTGTCAGATTTTACTTGCGTCGCTGTTGTTGGGCTGCGGTCTCGACGCTTACGTCTGCATCGGCACGATATCTGCAAGTAAAAGTGCATCTCGCTTCGCTCGGGGATCTCAGCGCAGCTATGAAGACCGAAGAAACGCTCGTTCAGCGGAGATTGGCCATGTTTGGGTTCTCACGCGTGGTAGCAGGTACGATAAGCAATACTACCTTATTGAACCGAGCAAGACTGACAAACCCTCCTAGTTCTACTGATGTGCTTCTGTGGGAGGCCGTAACAGGCGAGAAGTTCGCCGTGAACGACCCCCAAGCGCCTAGACGACGTGGTTATTGCGCTATTGATTGTGTGTTCAATCATCGTCGATTTTTCGCTAACCTACAGCCGCGAACGTGGAAACTTGCTGAATCTTCCTTCGACTTCGACGACGAGACTTGTTGGAAGAGAATGGATGAGAATCTCATCGCAGATCTTCCGTTTGGACAACCATCGACCGCATTACTACCACCCGATGTGACTTCAGCCTGCACACTCGAGCAAGAATGGACAGCAATTTTGAAGCGAGCGATTTCTTCTCGTCGAAGGGCGGAAGGTCTCGTGACGCGCTGGAGCGAAGAATTGAGCTTTTATTTGCTGCCAGCACTCAATTCATACGAACTGGAGCGCCTGTATGGCGTGACTCAAGTCGACAACAATTTCTTCCAACAAAGTGTCACAAATTTCGTCCAGGAAGGTCATACATTTCAAGGTGTGCCTTCCATGTTCACAGTCGAGTCTCCGGACGAAGCTCTCACTGTTATGACGTCTAACCCGCTCGTCAACGACATCTTGACTCTCCATGCTCGCTCAGCACAATTCGCTCTTGCAGTGCGGTGCTTCCCGTATGCAGAACACACAGTCGCCACTTGGGTTATGCTGGCTGTGAGTTATCCAAGTACAAATTAATTTCTTTTTAAGATTTGTTTTAAACGTACAAGCAAAGTTTATGTTTAGATAAGAAAGAAGAAATATAAAGGCGTTCTACGCTCTTTAAGCAGCAGCTTCGGTGCCGCTCCAAGGTGCTCGCGTGACTACGTCACCGTCCACTACTGGCCGAGCAATGGGCGAGTCGATCTCGAGTGGTCCCGGGTTCTGGAATTGCTGCATGATGGCTTGGGCTGTGCGAGGATCCACCACTTGGATAGTGGAGCTCACAGCCAGCAGCTTCTCCAGTGCATTGAGCAGTTTAGGGAGACTACGGTAGCTGCGGTGAGGCTCTAGGATGATCTCCGTGAGGCGCTGCAGTGTGAAGGGCGGACTCTCGAAGGTCTGAAGCAACTGGGTGACACTGGCACGACGGCCTTTGCTGGCAGCGTCACCGTCCATCGTGTCGAGTTGCAGCTGCAATTTGGCCAATAACAGCACCTTCAGATGCGCCCAGGCGTAGCACGGTACGCCCGTTTGGCGCATTTCCAACAGAACTTTTTCCAGCGTCGGCGAGATGCACGTGACGCTACCAGCAGCGAAGTCTGAAGAGAATGAGCAGAAATTAGAGAGGATGCAAGAGAACAGAAATTTGACAGCGACTTACTGGCTAATTCTTCCTCGATGGCGACGATTTCCTGCTCCATCGAGGTTGAGGCCATGGCGACTTGATCAAGACGAGGGAGATTGACTTGTGCCGGCCAAGATTAATTCGCAGTTTGCAGAGACGCAACGGATTTAATAGAACGTTGAGAAATGAGATATTGAATGACCCTCTGGAATCTGATTTAATTGAAGTTAGGGGATGCTTAAAGATGGTTGACTAGACTTGATAGACTTGCATAATTTGTTTATGGCGAACCACTCCCAAGACAGGTAAGCTACTGTAATGTTTCCGTTGACAAGACTGCATGTTTTTGAAACCGTTTCAAGATGGATACACAATCGACTGGAGCATTTTGCAGCACCGCAGTCCCCATAACGCCGTGTCGCGTGGTCACCATTGCGTTTGCGTAGAAGACGACGGCGATGTTTTTGTCGCTTTCCCCTCTATGACTCACCAAGGCAACTTCTGAGTGTGTAGATGCCTTAACATTCACTGTTTGGAAACCCTTTGGCCAGAGGATACCAATGTTACTAGCCGTTCACCTGTGCGTAGATCATCTGGTCTAACGTTACCGGAGGATATAGTTGAGATCATGATAGCCAATTAAAAAAGCGACAGTGCAGACGCATGCCGCCGCGTTGCTTGGCTCGAGCTCCATCAACGCGACTGCCCACCTTAAGGATTTGCATGTTCACGTCCATGAGTTAAACTCCGCAATCTGCGACGAGCATTCGTCAAGACAAAGAGCTGGATACATGTACGCTCATTCCCCAAATAACTCTCGCTGACGTGAAACGCCATGTTTGACTCGACTCAACACCTTCAGGCATTTCTGTCCGCTAGTTCACCCACTCCCCATGCGATCCGAGGCGTCTCGGCCGCGTTAGTGGCTCTGACTGCTCTTGCGAATTTAACGAGCAACCGAACGGCGATTCTCGCGCTGTTGCGGCTCCGTCTATCGCCACGATTCAAATTTGCAACACCGTCGCGGAATGGCTTTGCACTCGCGTTCTTTATCGGTTCGTAATGTTTCAACTCACTCCAATCGTAAGTTTTATTCTACTGACATTCGCGATTGCAGGTATATTCCGCTATCTCCAGCGCTCAGTCTCGAGTCGAGTCAAGAGCAAATCTGACGAAAAGGAACCTGCCCATACTCGAAATGTGGCGTTGCCCACTGGGGTTGTACCTGCTGCTGCAGTGGCAGCAGCGATATGCACTTTATGGATGGCACCTTCAAGCCGTCCAGCGGTGCTGTCACTCCTATCTACCAATGCTGCCAGCAATCTTTTCAACGATTTCTTAACAACACACCCGGATCTCAGCTTCCTCAAGCCACTGGAATTGTTCGTGTTCATGGCGGGTGGTGGTTGGATTTTCTCGGCGGGGTTTTTCTATCCAGAGAGCTACGAGCGCTCGCACATGAAACAGATTCTTCGGAATGTGGTGCTAAAGCAAGATGTTGCGAATGAGCTCCAAGAAATGTATCAAAGGGGACTTAATCCGAATCCGTGTCACATTCGACACATGGGACTGAGCTGTGGCCAATACGCCAGAAGCGACTTTCTACTCCGTGTAGTGATGATGGCTTTACGGTTGTATACCCCAGTGCACTTGACAACGTGGATCCTGGCCCAACGTCACCAAAAAGTGCGCTCCAAACCAGCAGTGACCCAATTCAAAGGGTTCCTAAGTAAGTTGGCACGCTCATCTGCATACTCTATCGGGTACGTTTATCTGGGGTGGGCGATGTGCTGCCTCCTAGGTAAAGTCGGCGATCGTTCTCTGTTTTCCCGTAAGCTCCAGTTTTTCTTGAGTGGAGCGATGCCTTCTCTCGCGATATTTGCTGAATCTCCTGGACGTCGGCGTTCAATCGGGTTGATCCTCGTATCATACGCGCTTGTGAGTGCCGGAAATGTTGCTACGCGAAAGGTGCCTTTGTTGCAACCTGGGGTCAGCTCGGTTCGTGGTTTACTCGAGGCTGGCTGCGTCGCAGCAGCAGTGTCCGTGATAATTCCAGGCTTTCTGAAGGACAATCATTTATTCCGACGCATGTTGCTGGGAGATGTTGAGGCGCGTGCATATCAAGAAGCGCTGAACCAATCGAAGGCGGAACCGGCCGGTGACGAGGTTCCTACCGCAAAGCCAACCAATTAGATCCACTATACAGGGTACTGCAGCATTTAACAATGCTGATCAAGATATAAGTAGTAAATTTGTTGATCGCTATGCATTTTCCAGTTGTATTTTTATCGCTCCCCGTGTTAATCAAGTACGAAGTGGCCATTTCAATTTTGCTTGCATAGTGGAACGATGAGTGATGCAAGCCTCGATACGAATTCAAATGGAGCCTCATTGTCGATGGAGGAAGTGACGAAAATTATTCAGGTGCTTATAGCTGTAACTTCATCTCTTGTCGTAATTTGCTGACAGGGTACTCCTGTGGATATCTAGAAAATGAGAGAAGAACAAGCGTCGTTCCTCGAACAGCAGCGAGAAGTCATTATCCAGCAGATTTTGGAGACTATTCAACGCTCAGGGGTGCTTACTGCAGCAAGTCCGGGCTCTAGCAAACCTAGAAAGAACGAAAAATCATCGTCTACTTCCCGACTCGAGCAAAACTTGCATAACCTCGTCCACCACTCACTTGCCGAAAGCGGTTTGGATTATCCTCATGTCCACAGTACGGCACACGGAGCAAGGGCCCAGACCGTCAAAGACTCTAACAAAGTTGAAATTATTGAGCACTCAAGAAAAAAGCCGCTCATTCTAAGCCGTCAAGAAGTCGAGAGTGGTTATTGTAGCAGTCCATCGTCAGTCCAACATGACAGTAATGGAGGTCACGAAGAAGATCAACAAGAGCGGACATCCTCAAGCCAAGAACCAAACGCCTCCTTATTACATTCACCACCTTACAATAAAGAGGTAACCTCACGAAGAAATCCACATACAAGACGCCGACGGCGACATCGACACAGTAAATCTCGATCTCGGGCTTACGTGGAGCATGTCGACGATGACTATTCAGAATTCACTGATCCCGTCGATGCAGCCTTCGCGGAGGTGCGTCACAAAGTGGACTTAAAGACCTTAGCGATTCTTGATCGATCGAAGGCGCTTCTTGGTCAAGTAAAACAGCCATCGACAGACGGAAGAACCAGCTTCGTGGAAAAGCTACGACAACGTCATGCGAATGTGGACCAGAGCACTACTACCGATAAAATCAATGAAGAAGTAAATGACGGTAGCGATGATAGCCAGTCTTTCGAACAGAGAGGTGAGGAAGGCGAAGAGCAATCGAAAGCATCAGAAGATCAGTCACAAGATGTTAAGACCTCCAAAGTGTCTCCAGAGGATATCCGATGCGACCTGGAACTTCTACAACCTCCCTCTAAAGCACCTGACAACGACAACGAATGGGAAAACGAATTAGCCCGGCAGATTCTGACGATCTATGCAACATCCGTGAAAGCCAAAGCGCTAGAGAAATCTAACGCCAACAGCTCTGGAATGGAGCAGAGTGACAACCAAAACTCTCGAGGCGTTAACGGGAAGCAGCGATTTCAAAGTGTACGGAAGGCAAGGAGAGCACATAGTCGAGAAGGATCTTTAAAGACTTCATGTTCGCTCCCAGCAATTGGCAAGAATTCTACTCTCAAACCTACAAAACAGCAACAATATTCGTCAACTGTAAACTACTCGTGGGAGCCATCTCAGCTTCGAGAAGATGGCAAAGTAATCATCAATATGCCGAAAGTTCCTCGGCCAATCTGGTTTGCTGGCACGGGTGCTGTAAAGGCTATCTGGTGTGCTCTAGCGGACGGATTTTCCCAGCTACGCCCTCAACATTCAATCGCTGGATCGATAACCACTTCAGTGTCTGTGTGTGACCATCGGTTGTGTGAAGAAGTTCGACAATTGGAAGCCAAGAAGAAGTTCACGCAGTGTATTACAACGCTCGAGTCGCTGTTAATCGCCTTGGTTCGAGCTCGTGGAGTGGACGAACTGGAGACGAAACTCTGGAAACAACTCGTTGTCACTTGCAATGCATTTGCTAGTCGCTGCATAGATTACCAGAAATTTCCAGCCGGACTGCAACTGATGAAGCAGGCTGAACATCTCATTGACAACTCCATTTTGGTGGATAGTACAATGAGGATGGAGCTCTTGGCGTACCTGTACGATACCTATGCGCACTATTACTACAAGCGCCGTAAACCGCATGCGGGACTTCAGTACATCATGAAAGCTCACGAGATCCACAGCAGACAAAGTAGCTGGTCGCATCTGGCCAAGTGCCGACTGCACATTGCAAATCTGCTCTCGTTCCAGAACAAACACACGGAAGCGATGAGATACATGGCCAGTATTCTGGAAATGATCGAGGAAAACAAGCTAGAAGAGACGTCGGAAGGAGTTGGCGGTGGCTCGGCACAGAAACTCTGTCTTGCAGCTGTGTGCTACAATAACTTGGCTGTCGAACAACTGCATATACGCGAATTTGAAACAGCAAATGTCTCCTCTTCAAACGCCCAGCGACTTGCCAAATTGTGTTTGAGTTACAGTAATCGATGGCTCGCGCAGTTTCAGGCTACTAGTGATTGCGTCGCCTTGGCCATCGCAACTCTTATGGAGGACACCAATGCAAATAAAGATCCTCTAGCCGAATGCAGAGCGTCTTCAGCGACAAACGAGAGAAGAAAACAAACAACCGAACCAGGTTCATCACAGTAGCATAGAAAACAGTAATCAAACTATTAAACGCACGCCGGCAAATCAACCTGAGTTAGTATTCCTCCTTCGTCATGGAAAATGCGAGCCACCTAATAAAGTACCATCGATCAATATCATCTCCGACAAGTGTACATCACTACTCGTCTTACCTCTTGCGCTAAGGATTCCCGTGCAGGGTCATCCAACGCCAATTTCTCTTGACTGGGTCAATTGTAGAACCATTTAGCATAAAAATCTTAGGTCGCAGAGATCCAGTTTCTTACCTGCTTTGCGTGAGTTTGTGCACTCGTCCGATGGCTTCTTTCAACTCCTGCACTCGCCTCGTTGCCGCTTGGTACTCACTACTGGATTCGGTTAGCTGAAGCGTCTCGCGTTTTGAGACCCAATCTTCGACGTATGCGAGAAACAATTCTTGGTCAAGTGATTCGCGGAATTGCAGCTTCAAGGCACTGGAGCAAACCAAAAACGCATCCTGCACAATATTTGCACGTTAGCGTTTAATCCCTTCACTGCACATCGGTGTTACGCACCTTGCTAGCAGCTTGCTCGAACAGAGAGAGTTGAGCCAAAAACTTGGTTGCGTCTTGAAGTACACTACAATAAATGAGCGTTCAATCGTTAGAAATTCGCCTGCTGTTGGTATCAAAGCTGGATACATTTTTACCTGCGGAACGACGCGTCTCCACTTTTTAGTTTGGCGGCGGTACGTACGAAGGTATCAATGCCACTGCATTGAGCCTTTGAAAATGCGGACCCCATTGTCTGCACCTGCGCATTTCTATAAAAGTTGGTAAGTAAAAACATGGATTCTCCTGAGATCATCCACATCGTACGCAGTAGTGATGGTTCTGCAGATTTCAAAATGCGGCAATAGCATCGTCGACATGGACGTCTCGATCGTCTCAATATCAAAGTGCAGTTGCTTCACACGCTGCAAGTGTTCGCCTACAGCCAAAATCGCAACAATTAAACTTTTTTTTCTAGCCCCAACTAATAAAATTATCGTTGTACTACCTTGTAGAGCCAACTTGAAGTCGCCAGTGAATTGCTCGATAGCGTCCTGGTACTGCTCAACTCGTCTTGAATGCGAGTTCTGCAACACTTGCACCGCCTCATTCAAAAACTTTGCCAAATGCTGCAGTAGTCACCGAAATTCCATTAACGCATCCGCTAGATAGTTAACATGAGCAATATTCATCACCTACGTCTCGTTTCTTGGTAAGGAGCGAGACCACTGTCGTATCTCGAGCCACTGCGGTCGCTAAAGCTTTAGAGTGACCGGATAGCAAATCGATCGACTGATAAAGCTTCGGGTGTGTCTCTGGATCGCTGCAAAGTCGACCAAACTCTTGCAATGCATCTAGCAGCATTGTCAGCTCCTGCTCGCCCAGGAATGATGGTACCAGCGCCACGAGACGCTTCAAACGACCGGAAATGCGAGTCAATACATCATCAGAATTGCTATCCGCGGATACAGAAGCCACAGCGAGCGTGTGCTGCACATTCTGGAGGTCATCAACAATGGTCTGCAAGCAGGTGACGACGTCGCTGAGAGCGAAGCGGTGCTTGTGCACCAGCAGCGACTCATATTCGCGCAGCATATCCGGGACGGACGGCATTACATGTATCCAAATCAAACGTGTTTTTTTAAACTAGAACAAATTCTAGTTTAGCAGCCATTGTTTCAAATCTGACGAGTTCAAATTGGCTTTGTTGTCTACACGTTGTGCACGTCAACTGGCAGCGTAATGGTCTCACCAGCTCACCATGCTGCTCGTGGGGCTTCAGCTGCCCTCATTACAGCCACTGTACTAGCCAACTTGATGCACAACCGCAAGGTGCTGGTGACGTTACTGCGGCGCCGAGCCTTGACTCAATTAACACTCGCCAAACCATCTCGCAACGCCGCAGCAATTGCCATTTTCATCGGTTCGTGAGCTCTCTCCAATTGTTAAATTGTTAACTCTAACCATTACTCTGCACTTGTGTAGGTGTCTTCCGATATCTGCAGCGCTCCGCCTCCGTACGATCCAATAGTGTTAATACCGTCACGACTTCGCCCAAACCTCCTCGGATACCGGGGGCTGTACTGGCGTCTGCAGTGGCTTCGGGGCTAGGAACCGCGTGTCTATCGCCCAAAGCTCGTCCAGCGCTTATATCGTTGCTATCGACTAATGCCGCCAGCCAACTCGTCCGCGATCTGATAGAGAAACACCCTGAGCTGCACGTGTTCAAGCCGCTGGAGCTGCTGATGTTCATGACGGCAGTCGGATGGATCTACTACTCTGGTTTCTTCCATCCAGAGAGCTACCAGCGATCGCACATGCGCCTCATCCTCAAGTACGTACTGTTGACACAGCCCATGGCCTCGGAACTGCAGGACCAGTATCGCCTCGGCCTTAATCCGAATCCGTGTTCCATGCGCCACAAAGGAATGAGCTGCAACCAGTTCGCACGCAGTGACTTCCTGCCGCGCGTGACCTCTGAAGCCTTCAGATTATACTTCCCCGTGCACTTCTCGGCGTGGTTGTTCGCCCAAAGACTCGCCAAAGTGCGCTCCAGACCAATGTCCACGCGACTTCGGCGCTTCGTCGCCAAACTATTGCGATCAACAGCATATTTTACAACGTTTGTGTACGTGGGCTGGGTCTTGTCTTGCCACATGGGGAAGTTCGGCGATCGTTCGATAACGCACCGGAAACTGCAGTTCTTTTTGGGCGGCGCGCTCCCTTCGCTTGCGATTTTCATCGAGTCACCGTCGCGTCGACGGCCGATCGGATTAATTCTTACTTCTTACGTGCTTGTGAGCATGGGCAATGTAGCATTTCGACGTATTCCGTGGCTGCAGCCAGGTGCGAGTCCCGTTCGTGGCGTGCTTGAAGCGGGTTGTGCGGCTGCAGCCGTGGCAGCGACTATCTCGGCTTCACTGGAGAGTAACCACCTTATTCGGCGTATCCTTCTGGGCGAACTCGAAGCTCGTTCACTGCAACAACAGCTCAAAGAGGCAGAGCCAAGTGCAGAACTGGCAGAGAATAAGGAGCCGTCACGCGACGGTTATTAATTCGTTCGCGTATCTAATTGCTGTATCACTTTAAAAAAATGTATCCGAACTTATCCTTGACTACCAGTGACTCGTTCTGCGGTGCCTGCTGCTGTGAGACGCTAGTGTGTATGTCCATTTTGAACCGAATACCGTCATATTACTCTCTGCCACGCTGGACTGGTATCCCAAATCTAATTTCGGGATTGAGTAGATGTTCCCTAAGTTAAATACCCTAAGATGGAGATTGTACACGTTCCTAGTAGGAACTTCCTACGTTTCAATACTTTTGTCACATTACGGTCGTCCTGAATGGTCACTTCTGAGAACTTGCACGAAGGTGTGGCGATATACGTCTGGTAGGATTGTTCGCCGACCTACAGTAACCTTTGTGATAAACTTTGTGAGTATTGTACTGAAGCGTTGGCAGTAAGGGGATAGAAAATCTGACCAAGAACCAATTTAGCTATACCAGTTGACAAACACGCGTACACGTTCATTAGGAGCCACAATCCACGCCTCTGTGCATCAGGGTGGACACGAGAGCTAACTGGCGCAAATGCGAATGATCACTAACTTTTTGCAACTTGTCAGAAGAAGAAAACTTGAGGAACGCAGTTGGGGTCTACAAATTCAGATGACAACGTAGGCGGTTCTACTTCTCTTTTCTCAGGTGGATGAATATCGGCCATCGTTGACATTCTACATGCTAAATACTACAGTAGTGTTACTATTTGCACCTGGATACATGTAATGGCAAGCCTTGCTACAAACAAAAACCTGTACAGATTGAAACTGTACTACAGTTACCCTCCGTACTCTCAACATTACCGATAATAAACAACTTCACGTCGGGAAATCAATCGCGATGACCTAGACGGAAGAGAGTATGACCACTTCAACATGCTATGGTGGAGAAGGGAATGTAACGGCGGCTGGAGCGGCAGGTTGTGGGGACTCTGGAGACACCATGAACAGGAGTCGCTAGTATAGAGCAGGCGTGCGACGAAATGCCTCATTCGCCAGCTGATGGCATTTTCCAATGGTCAAGAGCGCATCTGCTTTTGCAGCCTGGGACTCTCATTTCTTCTTTCTCACTCGCAGTGGCAAAGCTCCACTATATTCACGTCCTGAATCATGACGAAAGTGTCAAAGTTCATGCGTAAACTCTTCCGTAAAGACAGTGGCGAAGAAGGTTATCGTGGCCTCCAACTGCGACTGCGTAAGGCGGTGACCTTAGGTAAAGCTCGACAAGTGGCAGCGTTGCTGGATGAAGGCGCGTCTCCCGTTTGGATGGAAGATGAGACCCATTCTCGACGTCGATACCGGCGTCGGGATTCGTGTCCGTGCCAACTCAACGCGCTTCTATTGGCCTGTCGATGTGGTGACGACGAAGTGCTGAGTCTTCTGCTAGACGCGTTCTTCGAAGAGCCTCAAGTCCTCGCCCATTTCAGTCGAGCCATGTACTGCCTCGTGATCCGTCATGGCCACTGGAAAGCCTTCCATCGACTACAACAACGTCGAGTTCCCATGACTTCGGTATCATCGAGATCTTCGACGGATTCGACTAGCTCACCGACCTCCGTGACATCAACTCGGCTCCTGTCAGAGGCTGCAATGGACCACGCCAGTTCCAAACTACCAATGCCCATTTTCGTGGCTGCAGAGCACGGTCGTCACCATATTTTGGCCTATCTGTTGGATCATTACCCTCACAATTGGGCTCAGTATAAATTCGACGGATATTCACTACTCTCGGTAGCAACAATCAACGGCCACTACGAGTGCGTCCGAGTGTTACTTGATCGTCAGGTAGCTACTGGGCGATCTCTAGACGCTGCTGTCGCGTTGGCTCGTCGTCACCGTCAAGCTCATGTACTGGTTTTATTGACGAGTTATCTTCCGGAATTCGCCTCCGATCCTGAACCCGTGTACAAGAGCTACGAAGGAATATCAAGCGATACCAGCAATGTTAATGCCTTCTCGTGCCAGTGGTCAAACCAAGGGACCCGAGTTCAAGGCCGCGTCTCGATCGCAGAGACTGTGGCCAGCGAATTCGACGACGAGAGACGCAGCAGTCTCTTAGCTATCAGTTCGCCTATCAACTATACCAACCCTGCAGAAGACATGGACCGGGTACAAGAAATGCGGATTCGAGCTGAAATGCAGCGTGAGCAACGACAAACCGGAATGATGTGGTTCCTGGACGGACGGGAGCCGGTTGAAGACATGCAACGTCGCGTGGAATCGCACGGACTGAGCTCAGACGGGTTCGCAGTTCTCCGATCTGCACGCGATACTGCACCGAACTCCAATAACAGCTACACGTCCGAACAGGAAGAAGAATCCTGGTATGCGGTCAAGTCTAGCGAGAAAAACCATGATCTACTGGCAAGTGATGAAGAGGAGCACGCGTACGAGTCGATGTTTTCTGTTCACGACGAAGCGAACAATGAATTACCTCCGGGATCTGACGAGAGACATAAAGTGATGTCAGCACCTCGATCTTCATCCTCGGTGCGACCTGGTAGGTCACGCAAACTCATCAGCGTTCGCAGTCGAGGATTCCAACAACATCGATTGTTGGAGGCTATTGAAGAACACCCCGCTGGTGAGATCGAAGCGTAGATCTCTACAGTGGACGTGCTAGCAACTACAAGTAATAGACATGTATTAGGTCAATACCTTACATGTACGTCGCCCTTACTCATTGTCACAAATGCCGTGAAAGCCGAGATGTACCCCACTTTCGATATCTGCTAGCGTCGATCTAAGTCCGATAAACCCCATGGCTAACGCCGACAACCCGATCGTCGTCGCTAACATGTACACCATGATCGATTCGCGTTTGTACTTCTTCACAAAGTATCCGACACATTTCAACCCGCAGAACCCACCAACAAACCCAACAAACGCAAACCACGCCATGTAGTCGAACTGCAATTCACCCGGGAATTGACCGTTGATAGCGAACTGCAGCGTCGTGGACGATGCTGTGAAGAGGATCATGAAACTGGCTGTGGCCGTCTGCACAGCTGGAAGCACACCAGCCTCCAGCATAAGGGGACCTTTGACCATCCCACCGCCGATACCAAGCAAACCAGCAGCTACACCCGCAGTGGTGCATACAGCTGGGAACATCAGCACGCGGCGCTTGACCCAATGCATATCGCCGTCAACGAACGGATAATTGCTAAGAACTTTAAAGCGATTCATCAACCGAAGACGATACCCGATGTACAGTGATATTCCAGCGAGAACTGTGAGGGGCAGCAGCGTAATAGCCCAGTATGCCGAGGAATTGCAAGTCACACCGATAGCACTAGGAGCGCCATGACCACCACGAAGAAATGCCTGAACCAGAATGATAAGCCAGGAAACCACCAGTGGCCAGACGAACTCGAAAGGCAGCACTCGGGCATCGCGACGTTCAACAGTTCCACGTCGCTGAGTCTTTTCATCGTCATCGGACGGGAATGTGCCGAATCGACGATTGTCACCGAGGAGAGGGTCGGAGCTGGTCGGCTTTCTTTCAATAATTGGTGGTAGAGATTGGAAATCTTTCTCGTCTTCTTCGCGAATCAGACGCGTTTTACGACTACGACGAGTCTTCTCGAGCCACCGACGAGCAGCTATCTCCACGTCGAACCGCTGCAAATCGAACAAGCAAACAAAAAGTTTAAAAACTGAGCAATATGACAGACCAATATATCCGAGTGTACCTGATAGATTGACCATCGACGACCCCGGCCACCACCATTGGGACCGCCTGTCAGTGTGTTTTTGATGAGTGCCAACTTGGACTTCGACTCCTTCTCTTGAATCTGGAAGTGGCATTCAGCTGTTAGTTCAAGACAGAGTAGAAGTGTAAAATACATTTGACGCACCTTTTTGCCCTTCAAAAAAGTCTTATAAGTGATGAACGAGAGCAGCGTCACCAACAACACGAGAATCAACCAATTCGGGAAAATATGGTTGAGCATCACACCAAATACCGTGCCCATAAGCGTCGTGGGTTCCATGAGTCCCACCAAGCCAAAGTCAATGAGAGGGCGATTCCTGTTCACTGCACCACAAACAGAAATAAATAAAAAAGAAATAGCGCTTAGTTTTCGCAACACAGAGACTCACAGTAACAATCAATCCTCACATGGATGCTTGCGCCGGAAATGGACGGCATACATCGCGACTGCACAGCCAAAAATTGTCACTTTTGACAGCGGGATAGCATGTTTCGGGTTCAGACCAGCGAATATGTACATGGGTACAAGTAGACCTCCACCACCGATACCACCGCCAGCGCCCAACGCCGTGCATGAAAATGCGATCAGCGTCGTGAGTAGATCATTGTATGTGAACGGTGTGAACAGATTCTTCTCCACACAATACGCAGCTTCGACGATATCACCGGTGGATGTCAGACCTTGCTGCGTCTCCGTCGCCCCTGTAGCCTCGTCAAATACCTTCACTACGTGACAAACGTATCCAGCGTCTCCAGGCTGGTCATTACAGTCATGAGCGGTTGGTCGGCAGTACTCGCACTTGCTGTATCAATACCATGATATCGCACAGTTAGAGTATGTTGGCAAAAACAGAGTATTGTCTTCCTTACCCTCCGATACAGGCGAGAGCTGGGACGTAGCCACAATCTGATCGTTCGGTACACGACAGTCCGACAATGTTGGAGAATGGTGCATCCTGAGGCCCAGTTAGCCTCGGCATCGCACTCGCAGCAGCCAACAGCGTCAGTAGTAATAGCGGTGGTAGCCAATGTGAAGAGGATCACATCTTGACGTGGTGGATCTTAAGCATCGGTGGGAAAAACTGGAAGTGAGACGGATGATACCAACATCAGAACTGACGCACTAGGGAGGATGCGGTGGGATCACGTTGTGACACTGTCACTTTACGATAAACCGGCCATGGAATGAGCATTCGTATGAGTTGTAGGTCATTCAGAAACATTTGCCCTCCACAATGCCGTCCATGTACTGTTTTTCTTAGAGCGTCATGTATCAAATTCGTGATCAAGTAGGAAGAGACAGGAGTTTGGATAATAAAATTTGAAATGCTATTTCAATTTTTTAATATGCATTGCAATACATGGCTGATCAATAATATGATATTTTGACCAATTATTGCAATAAGTATATTATCCCAACAGTCGTTTATGCTTGCATTTGCAACTTTACGGTACTCAACAAAGAATTTCCTACCCACAGCATAAGCGCCATGCAACATCAGTTTCAACATCTGACTCAAAAGAAATAAAGCGGCCATGTAACAACTCGTCAGGTCAAGGCAAAAGGAAGATCCTGACGGGTGGGCATGCATTCATCCCACCTCGACAATGTCGCCTATTGCTGATCTCCCCATAATTGGGTGGCCATGGTTGCTCGACAACTTGCAGTTTAATACTAGTCGTCATACTCACAAGTTCAGGAATCCCAACAGATCCTTCTCAAAAGTGAGATGACTGACAACGATCAGAAAACCTTTTTTATCGTTTCAATTATTGTCACAAATGCCATTGAAGCCGAGATGTACCCCGTTTTCAATGTCTGCCAGTGTCGATCTTAGTCCAATTGCACCCATGGCCACAGCTGACAAACCAATCGTCGCTGCTAGCAGATACACCATGATCGATTCGCGTTTGTACTTCTTCACAAAGTATCCGACACATTTCAACCCGCAGAACCCACCAACAAACCCAACAAACGCAAACCACGCCATGTAGTCGAACTGCAATTCACCCGGGAATTGACCGTTGATAGCGAACTGCAGCGTCGTGGACGATGCTGTGAAGAGGATCATGAAACTGGCTGTGGCCGACTGCACAGCTGGAAGCACACCAGCCTCCAGCATAATGGGACCTTTGACCATTCCACCGCCGATACCAAGCAAACCAGCAGCTACACCCGCAGTGGTGCATACAGCCGGGAACATCAGCACGCGGCGCTTGATCCAGTGAATATCTCCTTCGACAAAAGGATAATTCCCTTGTACCTTTATGCGATTAAGTAAACGAAGTCGATAACCCATCCATAGTGACACCGAGATTGGAACTGCTAGCGGTAACAGCGTGAGAAGCCAATAGATCGACGAGTTACACTTGATTCCGATAGCACTAGGAGCTCCGTGGCCGCCACGAAGTATCGACTGTACGAGAATAAGCAGCCAGGATAATGCAAGCGGCCAAAGGTACTCGAACGGGAAGACGCGTGCCTCACGACGCTCAATAGCACTGCATCTCTGTGCTTGTTTGCCATCATCTGAGGAGAAGGTCCCGAATTGACGTTTGTTCTGGTCTTGAAGGAGTGGATCAGAACTGGTAGGCTTGCGATCATTAAGAGGGGGTAGTGTCAGGAAGTCTGCTTCGTCTTCCTCTCGAATAAGACGAACTCTACGCCGTCGCCGAGTTTTGTTAAGCCATCGACGAGCAGCAACCTCCACGTCAAAGCGCTAAATATTAAACACGACAGCAAATCAATATTATCGTCGATTGATTTTGAACTAGGAATCTAGAAGCGTACCCGATAGATCGACCATTTCCTGCCGCGTCCGCCACCATTGGGACCACCTTTGAGCGTGGATTTGATTAGTGCTAGTTTCAAATTGTCTTCCTTGTCTTGAATCTAAAGCGTTAAATAACAGCTTAGGACTAGCAATGTGGTAAAGAACAGAATAAAAACACGCACCGTATTCCCCTTGAGAATTGTCTTGTATGTGATGAACGAGAGCAACGTCACCAGCAGCACGAGAATCAACCAATTCGGGAAAATGTGGTTGAGCATAACACCAAATACCGTGCCGATAAGCGTCGTGGGCTCCATAAGCCCCACCAAGCCAAAGTCAATGAGAGGACGATTCCTGTTCACTGCACCACAAACAGAAATAAATAAAAAAGAAATAGCGCTTAGTTTTCGCAACACAGAGAATCACAGTAACAATCAATCCTCACATGGATGCTTGCGCCGGAAATGGACGGCATACATCGCCACTGCACTGCCAAAAATCGTCACCTTTGATAGCGGTATAGCATGCTTTGGGTTCAACCCTCCGAGGATGTACATCGGCACAAGTAGTCCTCCACCACCAACGCCGCCGCCAGCGCCCAATGCCGTGCACGTAAACGCGACCAGCGTTGTGAGTAGATCCTTGTATGTGAACGGCCCGAATAGGTTCTTCTCCACGCAGTAAGCAGCGTCAACTGTGTCTCCAGTGGATGTCAGTCCTTGCTGTGCCTCCTTCTCGCCCGTAGCTTCGTTCAGCACCTCAATAACTTGGCAGACGTAGCCAACGTCTTTAGGGTGTCCATTACAGTCATGAGCAGTCGGTCGGCAGTACTCGCACTTGCTGCAACATCAGCAAGAGGCTATTCAGTCAATGAATATATCGAATTATGCGACTGCTTCCTCACCCTTCGATGCAGGCCAGTGCTGGGACGTAGCCACAGTCTGCGCGCTTGTTGCAGGCCAGTCCGACGGTGTCGTAGAACGGTGCGAGTGCTGGGTCAGTTAGCGCTGTGGTCGCACTTGTAATTGCGACTTGCAGCGCCACCACCACAAGCAGCAACGTTCTCATACTCGCCTGGAAGTCGTGTTGAAGTCTCAATAGAGCAAATACAGCTGTGAGGATAAGAACCATTTACCCAACGATACTCTAACGGGTACTGTAACGCATACCGTAATGCAATACATGGCTACAGTGCCGAAGCTCGAGGCCAATCGGAAACCTAAATGTATCGACGTCATGCCTAACAGGCAGGATTGGTCCACGATACCCACCACGTCACGATAGCGAGGGAAGTACGAGTCGTATTTTACGACGACGAGCCCAGCACCAGACTGGTCTGTCGACAAAGAATGTCGTAAGTGTGTATGAGCATTTTGAATCGACAGGACTGGCTCATTTACAAGTTTGTAGAGGTTTACAGACCATTGCAACACCACGAATACTTCCCTCCCGTATTCTAAGGGGAAGTCGCGATATTCAAATGCCAACCATTACTCTCGACTCCTCCATGTGAAAAACCGGGTTGAAAGCGACGCCAAAGTATCTATCTAGTAGCGACGCGTTCATTCACTGTGAAGAAAGTTGGTCTCTACCTCATTCACTGTCGCAAATGCCATTGAAGCCGAGGTGCACGCCCTTCTCAATGTCTCGAACGGTGGACTTCAGGCCGATGATACCCATGGCCAAAGCTGACAGACCAATCGTCACTGCCAGCAGATAGACCATAATCGACTCGCGTCTGTACTTTTTGACCAAATACGCCACCACTTTCTGGCCGCAGAAGCCACCGATGCAGCCCATAAGTGCGAACCACGCCATGTAGTCGTACTGTAACTGGCCCGGGAACTGTCCGTTGATAGCGAATTGCAGCGTAGTGGAGGACGACGTGAAGAGAATCATGAAATTGGCAGTAGCCGACTGCACAGGCGGTAGAATCCCCATTTCCAGCATGATCGGGCCCTTCACCATGCCACCTCCGATACCCAACAAACCAGCAGCCACACCAGCCATAGTACACAACGTTGGGAAGATGAGGACACGGCGTTTAATCCAGTGGACGTCACCTTGGATAAATGGGTAGTCACAGAGCACTTTGAGTCGGTTTTGAAGTCGCAATTGGTGTCCTACCCAAAGTGTGATCGCAACCAGGATCAACAGCGGAAGCAGCGTCAACATCCAGTAGTCCGCCGAGTTGCAGGTGATTCCGATTATACTAGGAGCACCGTGACCGCCTCGAAGCATCGACTGCACCAGCACCACAAGCCAGGAGAGCACCAATGGGGTGATGTACTTAAGCGGGAACACCTTCATCTCGCGCTTCTCGATGGCTTTACGTCTCTCCAGCTGCTGATCATCGTCCGATACGAAAGTTCCGAAATCGCGCTTGTCGAGGCCACCTAGTAGTGGGTCTGAACTTGATGGCTGGTGCTCACGAAGAGGTGGCAAGGACGCAAAGTCTGCTTCATCTTGAGCTCTAATTTCTCGTAACTTTTTGTTGCGACGCGTCTTCGCCAGCCACCGATGGGCGGCAATCTCCACATCAAAACGCTGTTATAAGCATGAAAGGCAGTGAGTGTACAGACAAACAGGGTGTATAAACAATGTATAGAATACGTACTCGATAAATGGACCACTGGCGACCAAGCTTCCTAATTCCACCATCAGGGCCGCCCTTGAGCACCGACTTGACGACTGCGCGCTGGTACTTCGATTCTTTCTCTCGAATCTGTAGCAAATGTATGCGTGTTAGTAAATGGTCTAACAGGGGTAGAAAGTTACTGTGCTTGCCTTACCGTGTTTCCTTTGAGGACAGTTTTGTACGTGATGTACGATAGCAACGAGACCAGAAGCACCAGAATCAACCAGTCCGGGAACATGTGATTCATCATGACGCCAAAGATGGCGCCAATCAGCGTCGTGGGCTCCATAATACCTGCAACCTGGTAGTTGATGAGCGGTAACTTGGCATTTGCTGTACAATCCAGGAACAAACTTTTAGTCATTTGTGTTTCAGCTCAATAGAAATTCACTAATCAACTTACTCGGATGCTTCCGGTTAAAGTTGAAAAAGTAGGCCGATACCGCGTTGCCAAAGATGGTGGCCTTGGACAGCGGAATGGCGTGTTTGGGGCTCAGTCCGTAGAAGAAAATGTACATGGGCACCAACAGACCGCCGCCACCTACACCACATCCAGAGCCAAGTGCTGTGCTCACCAGAGCGATGATAGTGGCCACTACGTCCTTCCACGTGAAGGGGTCGAACAGGTTCTTTTCGGTGCAGTAGGCGATAGGCACGGTCTCTCCGACGGAGTTTAGCGCGTACTGAGTCTGCATTTCGCCCGTATCTTCGTCCCGAGTCTCCATCACTTGGCAACGCTTGGATCCATCAGCACTGCAGTCATCAGCGTCAGGTCGGCAGTACTCGCATTTGCTGCAATGGAACAAAAAGCACAAAAAGATAAGCGATGATACATTTTTCATTGGATAACTGGTAGATGATACGAACCCGGAGATGCACGACAAAGCAGGCACGTAGCCGCAGTCAGTGCTTTTAGAGCATTGCAGACCTACGCTCTCGTGGAACAGCGCGTCTTGAGCCACGCAAATAGAGGCCAAGCAGGCCGCAGACAGCAGGGCGAGCCGCATATCAGAGCTCGAAATGAGCTGCTCGCATTGACATGAGTCACGCTGCGTAACTTGAATTTGACTTGACTTCAGTATGAAAAATGTTTACCCACAAATTGTGACAACCACTTGTCACATTCATGTTCATCTGGTGGCAGGTATTGCTGACACAAAACTTTAGGTGGTACACTGTGCCCATTGTAGCGTTGCACGAAAGGACGCGAACCCAGTCATGGCTACATTTGCTGGGTTGTGTTCGCGGCCGGGATGCCGCTATTTGACGCCATCGAGAGCGATGTCACGGCCTTCTTTGTGTCACAAGGAACAGTATTTGACTCACTGGTCAAGGCCTTCATGGACCGCATGGCCGTGGTCGAGTCCAGCGTGGCGCTGCTGCACACAGACGTCACCAACAACTTCAACTTGGTGAACCAGCGCATCGATGCCAGCACAGCACAAGCACAAGAGATCGCAGCATCGACGGCAGCGAAAGCCGCAACTGCAGCAGCAACTGCAGCCGCTTCCGCAGCACTCGCTTCCCTTCCGCCACCTCCCGCCGCTGAGGTATCCTTAATTACAACACCAGATAATGTGAAGGTCGTGGATTCTGGTGGTGGACGGAACGAAGAGCTCGAGTACCACATCATGACGCTATCTCGTCAATTAAACATGGTGCTGGAGGTATTGTTTCAGCCGCATGGAAACAATAACGTCGTAGATGTTGTTCAGGCGAAGCAGACACAGCTGCAGTCGATCTCGGATGTCTTGACGGAGAATGAGGCTATATTGATGCAGCTAGCAGCACAACACGATGAAGGAAAAGTTGTACATTTCAATCCTGGCGCCGAGAGTGGAACGAGTGATAACATGTCCGACATAGCATCGGATGAAGCCACACAAGTAGCGAGAAACCAGCAGCTAGTACCAGAACAGAAGCCTGTGTCGGAAGTTACTACTGTTCCAAGGCCGACAACATCTTTGAAAGAAAAGGTTCAAAAGCCACAATCCCCTCCGTCCGAGACCAGCACTCTGCCATCAGTAGCAGCTAAAGAAGCTCGACAAGACGTGGATCAGCAAGTCCCTTTGCCCACCCCCGAGCCTCACCTTGATGCTGCCAACAAAGAGCAAGGGGTTCCATCACTCAACAAGCCAGACAACCAGATCACTGAGAATACACGCGATGAACAGGATGAAGACAGCGATAAAGAGACGGATGAAATCTCTTCCGATTTACTTCCATTCCAGCTACTGCCAGAGGCTTCTCGTCACCGAAGAAAGAGTTTCTTCCAGAGTTGCCAGGATCTGCAGCGTCAAGAAGAAGCGAGGCTGCGCGAACAGAAGCGGCTCGAAGAAGAATTAATGCGTCGGATGCACGAACTGCTGCTTCAATCACGATCTCATCGTCAACAGGAGCACATGGAACAGTGGCGAGCGCAACAAAACGAGGTGACACAGAACCAGCAAACAATGATCTTTAATCTTCAAAATCAGCTGCAGGAACAGCTTCAGCTTCACCAGCAACGAGAGCAGGAGTGGTGTCGTCAACAAGAAGAGCAAAGAATGGCAGATATTGCTACGATACAGCAGGAGATTGATCGGAAATGGGAGAATCTCAACAGTATGGCGGCTACTGCACAGAGCATACCGAGTCAGGATCTTACTCAAGTAAAGCAGCTCATGGACGATTTAGACAAGAGGTTTGTATCTCCAGACGCGTTGCAAGAAGCAGGTGCTTTGTGGCTCAAGACAGCAGCAGACAACTGCATCTATGGAGCAAACCCAGAGATCCTCTCCAATCTTCATCGAGACCTTCAGGAATTTAAGTTCCAACTCAACTCCCACCCCGTGAAATCTCCTGCAGTCTCATCTCTCCACGAAGCAGTCGATCGAGCCATCCAACTACTGCACCCTGTGACGTCAAGTGATAATATCACGACAGGAACTGAACAGGAGAACACCATGTATACGCTGCGACAGCTCCTCGCTAAGGTTGACACGTCATATCGAGCAGCAGCTACGGAACACGAGGAGTTCCCATTGCCTGCTGTCGTTTTCTTAGCGGAGGCGATTCACCGAATGGAATTGGGCACAGCAAACCTGTTGGATGCCATTGATTTCCAACAAGAACACTTCCAGCAGACGTTGAGTCAACATCAAACGGGGCTCGACAAACTCCAGAAAGAGCTCTGGAGACAGCAAGAGGTTGAATTGGGTCTTCGAACTCAATTGGGGGCATGTCCAAGCCAAGAGGACACATTACGGCTTGTTCAGGATCTCCGCGATCAGGTTTGTATCGTAAAATCTCTAGAAGTCCAGATTGTGCTTACCAATAGTATTTTTCGTCTTGTCCAGATCGCGGCTACAACTGCAGATTCTGCATCGAAAATGTTAGACACAGTAGAAGATTTACGCTACCGCATGGCAGGGCTTCCGAATGCTCAGATGCTCGAACAGCTCGCCAGCGATCTGCACGCCAAGACTGATCGCCTTACGCTTGAGCTGGACACCACTGCTGGCAAACTTAGCCACGATTTACGGCAGAAAGCTGATCGATCCGAGATTGATCGTCTGCAAAGGTACTGACAACATCGAGTTGTAGCGAAACGATGACTAACTCTTTCTTGGTGTACGATTCAGTCTTGTCCAATCCAGCAACGGTGTTCATCTACCTCCAGCATATCTTACGAAATCACCGTTAAAGTGCCTGTCATGCGACCAGCACCTTCCGTTCGCTCAAGCTCCCCTAGACGACAACATGGCTCCCAATCTGTCACCCAAACCAGGTTCTCCCACCTCTCAACGACCTGGTTCACCACCTCGTTCTCCTCCTCGTACTTCACCACGCCCGATTATTTACCACAACCAACAGTCCCAACAACTAACGTACCAGGATCAGCCGTACTCTGGAAGCTCTCAGTCCTCCGATGTCTACAATGACCTTGGCATCAACATGGAAATACTGCAAGAAATGTTTGCGGCCTCAACCTCAGCGTTGGAGAGACGACGACGACAGCGACAACACTTGCAGATGCAGCTCTTGTCTCCCCAACCGGAAAGCACCAACGCCTGGGTTGTTCGAAACCCCACGTACTTGAACATCGACGACGGCCGAAACCGGATCCCACTACGTAAGGTACAGCTCTCCGACCAGGTAATTTATGGACCTGCCATCACTCCGAATGCTTTCCGCAAGAAACAATTGGGTCGCTCCGATGAGTAAGTTAACATTTGTGCTGATATACGTCGGTCGGAACGTTAACTCACCTGTTGTTAACGACGTTGTAGACGACCGAAGACTGCACTACCGGAACGAAGACCTGGAGGTGAAATCATCACTCGAACAACATCGTCAACTGTGAGTATGTCCATTATTCTGTACAAATTTGTCCAAACTCATCAATTGATTGCAGGTGATTGTACGTCCATTCGCCGAGCTTACAGACAAACGCCTGCAAAAGAGATGAATGCAGCGCAGATAACTCCAGAAACCCAAGTCTCTTACCATTTCCTCCGTTGCATTATCAACGCCAATGGTTCCGATCTACGCGCTTCACATTTTTTTTCTGGATTTCTAGGCAATAATCGGCTCGTTCTGTCGTCTTAGACATCGAGTGTGAACTTCACCTTCCGCCCCGGTCCTGTGCTATGCAGACCCTTTCCTCCACTTGTCGTCTTGCGCGTCGGGGTCTCGTAAACTGAGGAAGAAAGAGGCTCCAGGAATTCGTCTTCGCTGTCACTCATGCCGTAGATTTCATCCAGCCTCTTTGACGTAACCTGGTTGATTTTGTTCATCGGTGGATGAACCGACAAGTCCTGTACTAGTACAGCTCCGTGGTTGGCAGCGATACCCACTTCAGAACCGGGTAAGTTCACGCCGTTCTCAGGTGTTGTCAGCCCTGATACTGCCACAGTGGGAGTCAACGACGCAGACTTCAGCGTGGGTGCGTTCGTCTCGGTAACGCCATAATACCGCGAAGTCGGTACAGGGATTCGGTCCATGACCAATCTGCCGCCTCGACCAATACGTCCGCGGCATCTATACTTGGGCGGTTGCTGGAATATCGCCGCCATCAACCGGGGCTGAGACAGAGGGTACGACGGGTACACTGGCCCACTCCGCGGTGATCCGTCCGTGTCTGTTGTGTCCTCCATCACAAAGTTCGCCGACGTGTCGTACTCCATAAACGTCGGTGCGATTTGAGGTCCTTCAACCGCAGTTCCAGCCTTTCCTGTCTTCGCATCGGCTCCAGTCTTTGAATCACCAGAAGTGCCCATACCATCTGCCAAACTGCCATTCTCTCCATCGCGATGTTTCTTCTTTTTCTTCTTCTTCTTCTTGTGACGTTCACGCTCTTCATCCACCGGAATCACCGGCTTACGCACAACAGCATTAGATCCACGATTCGTGAGCTCATGCTCCGCTTGACGTCGAATCTCGTCCAAGAAGTCCAGCTGAAGTCGCTTCGCTCGTTCTCGACGTCGCACTAGATCCAGCAACCTACGGACACGTTCAAAGTCCACACGCAGCTGCTGTAGCTTACGGAATCCTTCCAAGTCGTTCTTGCGATGTTTGCGTAACTTATAGCGCTCCTTCTCACGGGGTCGAAACACTGCATGAGGGTTCGTATCGTTCAGCGGAGTCTGAGGCCAGAAACGCCGTAATAGCGGACGACGCAGCTTCTGGCGCTTTGCAGCCCAGTATGTGTAAACATCGCAGGTCACGCGATTAAGAGGCGTCTTGTGCATGCTCAATCTCTTGCCAAAGACATCTTCAGCTTCTGCAAGTGTCATGACGTTGGGGTTCAGTAGAGCTGAAGCTTTTTCCAGAGCGTCCAGCATCTGGGCGAAGCGTCCCTGGGATAATTGATATCTTGGATCTCCATCCACGCCGTACTTGGGATGACGTCGGAGCCACCTCATGTCTTCTAGATCTAGATCCACTTCAACTTCCTGGGTCTCTGGACCTAAAGCTTCGGATCCTGCGGCATCTTCGTCTCTCGGCAAAGTTTGAAATCTGACGTAGGACGTGGGGACTTCAAAGTCTGCAGACACTAAAGTGTCGTAGCTTGGGACTGGTAAGATCACGGGGATTGGAATGTCCTTCTTGTTGCGTTTAGATTGACTCCCAGCTTTCTGACGAGCTGCCAGATTCTATTTTTAGAAAATAGATTTAGATTAGAATGAGATGTTAGAAAAAAAAATGCTTTTAGAAATATTTATATAATAAGATTTACCGCCACGAGCTGCTGGAACGTCGCGTGTGGCTGCGAGGCGCCCCCGGTGCCGTCGTCGTCAGCATCCAGGTCCTCCTCCTCGCGGATGATCCGCATGCGCGCATGGATGTCGATCTGCCGCGGCCGCAGACTCGAGCGCCGCATCGTTAAAACCACGGCTCTAATTTCATACAAGAGGGGACGACACGAAAGCAAGAATCGCCGTTTTGGAATCGGTACAGTGTACCACTCGTTTAGAAATATGTGACGTGTGAAAAATGAAGCCATGTTAGTAGGCTTCTATGTAAATTTCCAGGCGTCCTGCTTGTTGATCGCTGTTCATGAGCAGCAGCTTGAGCGTCAGTGAGTGGCCAACGGGGATGTATGGGAACGGCATCATACCCGTAGCAATTTTCTCACTGCAAATAAAAGTACAACGGGGAAATGTCAGATTCAAATGAGGGTGTAAATAAATTGGCTTTGCACGTACTCGAGAGATGCCACCATGCCCGAATGCTTGAGGACGAATACCAACGTGCTGGTTCGAGTGTTCTCTGGTGTTAGTGCCAGTTCGAAGACTTGACCTCTCCACGTAGGGACTTCCCCGCCACCAGGGTGCACCGCTGTCTGGACCTGGGTGAGCACTTCACCATCGCCACGAACTAATCGGCAAATGCAATAAGGACTCTGTCTCCGGTACTTGAGTGCACGACGAAGTCCAGTTGCACATATTATCTTGAGACGATACAGTAGCAGTGGAGCCACTACAGGCAGTCCTGATCGAGTTGATACAGGAGGCAATGCTGGCTTTGCACCGCTGACGGCAGACCTTGGTGTCGTATTTACAGTTTCTGCATCAGCTCCGCTCGAAATGGGCTCTACATCATCCGTATGGTTCTTGGTTGGCGTCGGAGGTACAATATCATTGCCTTTGCATTCGATAGCGGTCACTTTCGATTCGCTTGATACAGGAACCTCGTCTTTCACTGACCAAGCAGCACTGCCGCCTCTTTTTAGTTTACTTTCCAGGTCGCGTAAAATTGGCTCGGGTTCTGGGCAGCCTGGCAAGGGGCTGACATCGTCACCACTTGGAGCATGAATTTTCGAACTGGGAGAGCGATTCAGTGCAGGTAAAATTTCTACCTGACGTTGGAGCACTTCTTCTCCCGATATCCACGCGGCCACTCCAGTTTTCGATTGTCGACGACGATCTTCAGGAAGAACTTCCGTGCGAAGTTCACTCTGCTCGACTGCAACGGGTACGAGTGTGTTTGTTGCAAAATATGCTGCGATCTCGGCAACACCCTGACGATATATTTCCACTGGTATATGAGATAGCACCGCCATCCCAACGTCGCGCTGAGTTGTCAATCCTCTTACAATCTGTAAACGTCGAAAAAATCGCTCTGAATTCTCGGTCTCACTCGCGAAAGCGTCAGCAGAAGGTGGTGTGGCCTTTTGGCTTAAGAGAACGTGACATACATCGATAAAATTCTCTTCTTCATCGCAACCATCTCGGAAGCCCCATTGCTGCATTGCTCTCCACAGCGGCGTGCGATTTTCCTAGCAGAATTTTACAACATGATTAGGAATGCTCATTTTAAATTGTAGATTCCACAATACCTTGTCAAGTACATTCACATCAGCTCCGTGTTCTACCAATCCATTAACAAAAGATGCATTCCAATTCTCCGCATGAACGTGCAGTGGTGTATCGTCCTTCGAGTCTCTGATATTCACATCTGCTCCTCGTCGGAGGAGAAAATTGAAAATGGCGTCGGAAGTCGATTCGAACAAAACAGTCATCGTCTACAAGATCAAAGCAGTTTAGTATGATGTTCAGGTCTGACACAGCGAATAAAGACGCACCAGTTTAGCGAAGCCCGTGGTGATTGTGTATGTTCTGTTCACATTCGCGCCCCGTTTCAACAGTAATGTAACCAGTTCTAGATTTTTGCGCACCACCGCAGCTCGAAGCGGATGTGGACTCTATAATACCAAACAGCATAATTAGTTACGAAGTACTTGCAATTATTTTCTTGGACATACCTCGTCATGTTTCGAGCCATTAACTTCAGCCCCGTTGCTGAGCAAAACTTTCACCAACTCGACATTCTCCTTATCCACCGCATGATAAAGTAGATCCCCCTTGGCCTCCTGTTTGCACCAACCCGTCAGTGTTTCACTAGCATAAATTAAAACTGAAATGCTGTTGTTGTACCCGATCGGGGCGTCCATTTGGGCTCGTGCCCGTTTTGACTACAGCATTGATGACATGAGTATTGGCTCCGGCCTGGATTAACTTTGCCAACTCTTCCGCATTGCCGCGCTGTACCGCCTGAAGAGCCTTGTAGGCTAGCAACTCGGGAGGTTGCTGAGCGCTCTGCATCTCACTCTGTGATTTCGTTGAGAAGTCTACTGGAGCACTTGGATGGGTAAAAGTCCTCAGGTCGAAGACGACAAGGATAGTAAGCTGGCAAATGTGGCAGAAAAGTGGTCTCATTAAATTAGAGCTCTATTCTTATCAGCGTGAAGGTTATTGGAAACTACTTAAGACACGGGTGACCACTTGATAATTTCACGATCAAAAATTGCGTTCTACCATTATCACAGCTAGTCTATGAGCGGAATTTGCGCAGCACCGACGAGTCCACTGTTTGCAGCAGTTGGTCGAAAGCACCGCTACCTAGTTTTGCTGCGATATCATTCAGTCTTTCGCAGACAAAACCCTTCAAGTCTAACGCTAATACAGGAGCATCTTCTTCATTCGGCGCCTGCTGTTGATTTCTGTGGTGAGCCTGGAAAGCGCGATACACCCCGGATCGAGCTCCATCTTCATCACTATTAGCAGCAGCTGCCTGCTTCAGCCTCTGCTCCTCTTGCTCGTCTTCTATCACTTCGACACAAATCTCCAGAATCTGGCCGGTCTTCTCTAATAATGGCTGCTCCATCAACATCAACGTCGAGCACAACGCAAGTGCCCATACTTTCCGTCGTAAAAGTGTCAACGGGGATGATCCGACAGTGTAAAACAACTTGAGCATCGCGTCCACAAGCACCAGCAGCACCGCGTGATCATTCACCAGCAGGTTCTTCAATGTGAAGTCCAAGTTGATCATCATCAGTCGAGCCACAACGCTCAGATAGCCAGCAAGTACACTATCTGGCTCGTGCTTGGCCTCCCCCTGCTGGAAACTGATGCAAGCTTCCACCATAGTCTTCACTACTGGCAAGAACACCGTCACCTGATCGATGGGGACCGTCGCGACGATAATCTCAGTCACTTGGGCAATCTGCAGAGAAGCTTCCGCCTTCACGTTGCCGATCACACTTTGTAAAAGACCAGAAACATTGCTGTGATAGGCCTGCCAGAACTGTGCCTTGCCGAGTCGTAAGTAGTGCTCCAATAAACTCAACACTAACACTACGTGTTCGTAGTCGCGCTCCATTAACCGCAACGCATTGCCAAATAGTAGGTGAAGCTCTTCAGTATACACTGTAGACACTTCCAGCGTCTCATTCCACAACTCCAGTCCACTTTCCATCAAGAAAACTTCGTCCGGATTTGACACATCGGTAGCAAAGCGAACCACCTGCACGCACATATCCAGCAATGTCTGTACGCTGCCAGTCTCCACTGAAGGTGCTTCCTTCACACTGGACAGAAGCTTAGCCATCAGCTGGAGAATCTTCCCACGAACCAAGTTGCTCGCGTCACTCTCGTTCGTCCACAGTGCAGGCAGAGGTGCACTAATCTGGTGGCAGAAGCTTACAATCTGTGCACCACAAGCTTGGATGATTGCCTCTAAACAGCCCAATACCTTCATTTTACTCTCGGATTCGTCAGCCTGTGGAAAGAACGCAAACAAACACTCCAGTGCTCGCGGCAGGAATGGAGCAAACGCGTCGTGCTCGAATCCCCAGTCGTTCACCATAGACTCGAGCGTCTGAATAACACGCAGCTTCAGCGCAACATCGGCGTCTGCCTGGTGGAAAGAAGCCGACGGGTTCAGCAACGAATCGTACAGTGGCGGCCGTACATTTGCCGATAGCTGCGCTAACCAACAGCTTACGAGCCAAACGATCCGGAAGCGCAGAACTGGAAGCCCGTGGAACGAGCCAACTGCAGGGTCTTGGTTGACGAGGATTGGTACGAGATTGGTCAGAAACCACGGCTCAAACTCGAAGCAGTCGTGGAGATCGTAGCAGCCCAGACCGATAGCAAGCAGCACAGCATCCATTTCGAGAATGTGTCGATCATCACCAGCAGATATCAGCCCACGACCCAGTTCTACCAAATACGACGAGGCACTGGAGGTTATCTGGGTCAGTGCTGGGATCGTTTGGTCTGGGAAGTTCTGTACCAACGTCAAGAAAACATTCTCAGCACAGGCACGCACCGATTCCTTCGCTGTCAGACTCTCCATGAGCGTACAATAGGCTTCTGGATCGCTCTGCCACTCATCCAGATCCTTAGCAGTCAGAGTCATGTAGTGCATCACTACTAGATTCAGCATGGACGCAAAGCGATTCTCGGTCTGTGTGAAGAACGTCTGCACTGCCGTTTGCGCTTCAAGAACCATGGCATCCGTCAGTGCGACGTCTCCAGTAGCCGTGATCACCTTCGTAATTACCCGAGTTGTGCCATCAGGACCTGAGAGACTCTCATTCTTGTACAACCGACAGCTCAGTACGTTAGCAAAGAACTGGAGCGCATCGATCTGGAGTCGCCTGGGCGACGGAAGCACTGTCATATTGACGGAAGCGAACGCTGTAAGCACGTTCCAGAACAGCGTAAGATACGGCGGCAAATATTCGCGAAACTCCATCGGATACGAGTTCTGCACACCCACGACAATGGCTGCAATACGGTGCATGCACTTGTCGAGCGTCTGTATCGCCTCCTCCACATCTGCAGCGCCTGCGTCTCCAACAAAAGCCTGTCGGAACTTCACCAGCTTCTCCAACTGGTTGTAGAACTCCACAAGTGCCGATCGCATGGGCTCTCCATTCTGCAATGCCGACAGATCCCTGAACGCATTGAGCAGCATCGTCGAGATGATTTTCGTGGTCGTCACTAACACATTCAGCTGCTCTGCACCAGTAGTCATTAACGCCGTTGCAATAGTCGCTGTTTTCTCGTTATTTGTCTGATCAGCAGCCACTCCTTGACTCTGTAAGAAGCTGTTGAGCTGTGTGGCCGTCGCTGTCCAGTATTGAAGCAATAGGGGCAGCAGCTCCACACTGAGTATAGCAAATTGTTTACGGTGCTGCATGAGACGTCTGGCCGCCAGCTCCTTAACCACGCGGTAGCAGACGTCGACTCCTCGTCGCTCTCTTGACAGATCCACAACTCCGTTCAGCCGTCTCAATGGCTGTATCATCATTGGGAAGAGAGTATCGAAGCTCCATTGGGTTGGGAACTCTGCACGCGCGATCGTGGCGACAATCAGCGCCAAATGCAAAGCCACCGTCTGCTGCGGCTCGTGCAGCGACGCAAACAGCAACACGCCACGCACGTGGGCGCGCTCCTCGTCCGATAGAAGGTTCGTGGCCTTGCGTGCTCTCCACTGAGCCTTGAGGAAGTGCTTCAGCCACAGAACAGCAAGCAGGCGCACGTCAGCGTCTTCAGATGCCAGCTGCGCAAGGTTGCGCGGCGTTCCTTCAGCGTTGGGCACGGCAACGCACATGTCCAGCAGGGCAGCAAGGAACGGAGCGGTAATGGGCGCCTTTTGTAATTGCTGCAGGTCATTCTCGGCCGCCGAACGCTGCGGCTCCGGCGCACGCAGGCTCAGCGCGAGAAGCTCGCGCATCCGCGCAACGTCGCCCGCCATTGGTGATAATGAAAATTAGTGACATGTCACTACATCTGTATTTAATTTAAATTGAGTTTCATCCAATTATTTTTAATATTTTATTCTGGGAGTTGCAACTGTATCAACATTCATTCTAGAAAATATTGATCAGTTGCAACCAAGCACCGGAAAAATCAAATTTGCAACGATTTTTAATTACGCTCTATTGCAGTTTACGTTGCAGTTAGCTTTTCGAGTGCAATTGAGTATTGTAATACGTGGGGCTCATGCAAGGGTATTGCAATTTAAGATCACAATATTTCACTTCAGGTTGCTTCAAGCTCACCTCGCTCTACTTGTAGATCTTTCGTCAGGGTCTTATCACTTCTCTAGCTCGGGCACGGCTGAATGCAGCTGCTGCAGAGCTGGCAGAGCAGTTGCGGCAGAGCATGTTGTGTCATTTACCCCGCCGACGTTCTCTGCTTCATTCTTCAATCCGCTCAGCCGTTAAACCGGGTCTAGCATCATTCATCGTCGTCGTCACCTCCCCAGGGTTTCTTCACTACTACCAAGATGGCTCTATCCAATAACAAATTGCGCTGCAGAGAGGTGCCTGATGTGATCAAGTTCTACTTTGACATGCTCAACGCTGGTAGTGCTGTGGGGTACAAGTGCCTCAAATGCAATTTCATACCGACTCATGATGGATAATGGGATATACAGATTTGTATCGACATTTGAGCTCCTGTCAGAGTAGTGACTACAGAGAAAGTTCACCGCGGCTGTCAAAACCCTAAAAAGCAAGCTTGGATTTGAAGTCATCGAGTTTGTGAGCGAGCGGGATCTTGTGACTTTCAAGTGGATCAAGTGGATTGTAATGCGAGATATGCCTTTCAGCGAGGTAGAAAATGAGGTGACCCGGGAGTTAGCAGGACTGAATCGGTGCTACATGTCTGGTGTAAAGCGGTTCGAGCCTACATACCCGTCCTGGTTCCGCTAGTTGAAACGTTATAACGGAAGAACTTCCTGAGCGCTTCGCTATCAGGTTTGACCGATGGAAGCACAAGCCGACGTACTACATAGCAGTATTTGCGGTTTCGTCCGCAGCATTATTATTATTACGATATCGTAGAATATTCAAAATCAAGCTCTACCGCTCAATCAGTAGAGCATCTGAACGATCCCACCTCTTACTCAGATCTTGCAATCTGCTGAAGTCAAACTCAAAGTACGGCTTCCTCGTTGTATTATCCCATGGGACAAACGTGCTCAGCGGACACCTACAATCAAGATCAAACCATCCACCCGAGTAAAAAAAAGCAATGATGTTTTGAAACCTGCGTACTTTTTCTGCTTGTCCATCCGATGTGGGAAACCGAAGATAGTTTCGATCGCTATACATCCTGTGGAGTACGATGTTGCTCCCAAATCACCGAATATGCTGTTGCTCTACACAGTAACGATCCATCATTTTTGATCTCCTCCAACAACGTTGACAACAGCAACACCTCGTTTCTCCTTCCACAGAGCTCCGTTTTCCACAATCTTCAGCTCAACATGAGCAGCCTCACTGTCAAGTACATCTGTAGATCTATTTAGTCAGCACATGTTTTTCCCCGGCAACTTTTAACCCCCGTAAAGGAATGCCGGTGCAAGTGAGTGCCAAGTATGCGATAGTATTGAGCTCATTATAATCTGTGGCTGCATCAGGAGAAGCGATGCTACGTGGATGCGGCAAGTGAAAAGCTACTTCCCCACTTGCTTCTTTTAAGCGATCAAACCAATTCCATACATAATCTGACAAACGTGTCCGTGGTATGCTGTTTATCCTGTCTCTTGGCAAGTTTTGATAAATTCAGGGTTACACACCAGTCGCACAAGCAGCTGTGGATTCCACATATATCCATAAATAGTGGTATGAGTATGCAAATCTCCCGCACTTTTAGGGCTTGACAACAGAAGCAAATCCAGAAAGTACACCTCGTTCACGCTTGCCATAATCATGAGTTTTTCTCACATCTTTACTCGCGCAACAGCAAGTTATCGCAGCGGTAACGACGTCAAAAAATACCTCAAATGTTCGAACGGCTCAAGCTGGGAGTTGATTCGATACATCAAGTCTTGCTCTTTTACTTCTATGCAATACTTCAGGAACATTGTCTCGGAAAAAATTGCGCTCGCGTGCAAAGTGATGACCGATCATTCCACCTACCCGATTATCACAAGAGTACCACAAGAAGTAATATCAAACCATCATGTTCAGGAAGAGCGACTATTAGCAAGTGAGATATCAAATCACATCTTACGCGTGTCGCATCAATATTTGGTCTGACACTCGCCAGTTCGAATGGAGAAAACGGTACACTGTCACCTATTACAGAACGCAACCGGAACAATTTGCATTTAGAAGTTTCGCCAGCTTAGATTTGGGATGATCATGGGTAAATTCCTATTGCTCGTGAAAAACAGGATTGTTTGCAAGCTCGTTCAATTAAGTTATGCCTCTCCATGAGACGCATTTGTTCGAACAGCTTTCTGTAGTCCAGAATGACGCTGCAGTTGGTTAAACATCGTACAAATCAGTTTCGCGCTTTGCTCTAATCTCTCGTTGCTTAGAACAGTAAATGACCCAGAAAGCTATCACACTGCTGTAACAGTTAGCGTAAGGCTAATAAATATGTTCGCGGTAGATGGACGGATTTATTTCAGTGAGAAGGATCGATTAAATGCTTTCGTTTGTTCTGGCGATGATCGCTGCAGCGTGGTTTCGCGTCGGATGATGGTGCGACAGCTTCTGTAAGGAGGAGCAGATCCGCACTACGTGGCTATATTTGGAACACTATCGACAATTGAACTAACTATAAATGTTTATCATGCATGAATAGCGTTTCAAAACCAAAACAAAGCTGAATGCTTCACGTCTGCGTGTGTTAGCACCGATGCTTGTAATCCAAAGTAATACTATTGTTTACCGTGACAGGGCATGTTTACTTGCTAAATGGTATGCTGCTCTACAGTTAGCACAACGTCTTGGTTGACATGCTCGTTTTGACCTGTTGCTCTACAGTTAGCACAGCGTCTTGGTTGACATGCTCTTTTTGACCTGTTTCTTCGTGCCTTCGTTCCACAGCTGAACTTCACCACTCACAACCTTCTCGCGAATGTAATGGAAGCATAATGTGCTTGGTATGCGCTTGGTAGCCAGCGTTCTTCGCCGGTGCCTACTCCCCTTCGGTAGTCAACACTCCTGCTTCTTGCTTAGAGTCAATGTCCTAGAGGTGAAGGTGCATCCACATCCCCTCCTCCTCGTAGTCCCTGGGTGCGATGTGCTTGGCCTCAGAGCTCAGTGCGATTGTCTTGAAAACTTGAGAGCGCCCAACGTGACCAACACATACCACAAAAATTAAACGCTTAGCAAGCGCCGTTCGTCGCGGTTGTCGGCCCAACTCGCATCTGAGTAGGCGACGAACTCAGTTCCTTGGTGTCGGCTTATGTGATCCCCACGCCCTTTGACTTCAGCAGGTAGCACAGCTCTGCTACCAGCATCCGAGTGCTTCTCCCCGGAATTTTCCTAGCGGCAACCCACCTGGACAACAGCGATCGAGCTATCACGCCGCGTACGGCAATGCCAAGTACACCAGGCTACCCATGAGCGAATGCACGCTTCATTCTCGGAATTAAGATCGACTAGGACATGGAGTGCAAGGCCCTGCGTTGTTTCTACTAGCGTATGCAGAGTCGATTATCAAGCGATTCGAACAAATTAACACAAAACTATGCTTGTGTCCACTTGAAGCTGGGGCTCATCTATACCACGGCTGGCCAAGCCCAGACCAAAGCCGATCAGGCAAAGAAGATGAATCAATGCCATATCGTTGGAGTCCTTCGCTGCAACCAAGACTAGGAAGCTGATGCCATGACCAGCGCTCCAGCGACCAATCGATTGTCGCTTAGTATTCAAGATGGAGCGCAACAAATACGTACGAATTATCTGAAACAAAGCTCGCCTCGTAGTGAAGGGGGTTTCGCAAAAGCACGTCATTGACTACAAAGCGACGAACACGCAGGTGACTTTCTGAAATCGATACGTACCAAGCTGGCAAAGTGCGTTGTTGACGAATGCGAGATCGAACAAAGCGATGTCAACACGACGTTCCTATACGGAAAATCCAACAGAGAGATCTAAATGGAGTTGGAAGAAGGACTACGTGAACAAACCTACTCTCACTTTGGCTAAGGCTGAAGGTGAAGACGGAGGCGCGTGTCAGCTGTTGCTGCAGAGCTGGTAATGGTTCAAGATAGTTTCATGTCTTGAACGCGATCTTCGACAATTACGTCAAAACGTGGGATTCAAGTCAATATATGCTGCTCCCTGTGGACACGCACGAGGTGACGGTAACGCCGAGTATACGGTGTCTCTATGTCGACGACATACTGATCGCGTCGGAAGATTAGGCTTTCATTGCTGTGGTGAAGTCTGGAATCGCGAATAAGTTCAAGATGGTTTAAGATCAAGGACCTCGGACGTAATACATAGTGTAATTGTAATGGGCTTACTACGTGCCCACTACTTCGGCTTACACGTTAGCGCACGTGTATGAGGAAGCGTAGTTTGCTTTAACTTAG